CTCAGTGTCCTGAGCTGCAGGATTACAGGTGTGCGCCACCGTGCCTGGCTCCACTAACCACATATTAATATTACTCTACAATTAATTTAATTTGTTTAAGGATTTCAGCAGAGGGAAGCAAACTGGCTCAGATTTTTTTTTTAGTGGTTCCCAAACTTGGAACAAACATTAGAATCATGTAGAAGTTCTGACTTAGAATAGGGTGCTATCTCATAATCTGTTTTAATAAGCAATTCTGATGTGCTAATTTAGGGGTTGAAAAGTAATATCAGAGAACTGCTGCTATGGATTGAACAGTCTCTCAAAGTTCATGTGTTGGGAACTCAATCCCCAATGGGATAGTATGGGGAGGTGGGGCCTAATAAGAGGCTCTGTCCTCACATATGGAAAGGATTAATGTCCTTATTGTGGGAGTGGGTTAGTTATTGGGAGTGTAGAATTTGCTAGAAAGGCACACTTAGCCCTTTCTTGTCCTTCTACCTTCTGCCATGGAATGATGAAGAAAGAAGGCCCTGAGCACCTTGACGTTGAACTTCCTAGGCTCCAGAACTGTGAGCCAAATAAAATTCTGCTGTTACATATACCCAAWCTCAGGTATTCTGTTAAAGCATCAGAAATTAAAACAATGTCCATATTCTCTACCATTCTAAAATGCCAAGATGCATAATACAAGTGTAAATGAATTTCAGAAAAGAGTTYACTGATGTTAGATTATTTGAGGATTGTGAAGAAGAAACTGATGTACATTCAGGTACATCACTGGGTGCACTGGAAAAGTATATGGAGAGAAGATCTAAGGAAGGTATAATAGACAATGGGGGTTGGCGGGGTTGCTACAGATTAGCTAGAAACAAGTTATAAGGGGACACTGTGATGACAGCAATGCAGTGTTAGCCCAATRGAAGGAATGGGGAAAAAAATGAACATGATGTTCTAAAGCCAAGTAAATATATAATTTTGCCTTAAAGAATACTTTCCTTTTTTAAGAGGGGGCCTTGCTATTTTGCCCAGACTAGTCCCTAATTTGTGAGCTCAAATGACCTTCCTAGTGCTTGGGACTATAGGTATGTGCCAACTTGCTGACTAAGAGTAAACCCAGCCAGAACCAGAACACTAGGGATGTACCTTGATTCTTTAGTAGTGATGACGGAGGACAGCTGATTGGCTGCCAGCCAGGCCCAGGCTTCTGCTTGTGCTGCCTCTCCTCCAAACTGTAACTTGATGCATCTGCAACAAAAACAGTTCCTCACCAGTAAACTAACTGCTGAAGTGCAACCACTTCACCTTGCTACTAAAACTAGAGATACGAAGACAACTTTAGCTCTAGTATATTGCTAAATTYAYTACTGGAGTATTAGTTCTTCCTTCTCAAAGCCACATAACTGGATGACCCATAAGGGGCCACCAATTAGGTGTCAGAGATACTTTACTTCCAGGAGAAAATTAATGATGACAAATTCTGAATGTTTAAAAATATTTCTAATTCACAAACCACTTTACTAATAGGTATAAGGTCAATTAAATAAGAACTTTTTAAAATTTTTATTTTTGGGGTACTATGGATAGAACTCAGGTCCTTCTATGAGCTAGGCAAGCAATCCTACCACTGAGCTACACCTCAGCCCAGAAATACTGTATTTTACTGCACAATCATCATGCAAAGCTATTTCTTTTTTTTTTAAGTTGCACTAATATGCTTACAATTCATTTATTACTAAACTGTCTTTGATACAAAATTAGGATGCATAGTACACTCATAAATGTGCCTTAATGGTATGGCAACAATTATGGTGAGATATGGTGCTTTATAATRCACCGAAGAGGGGGTCAACAGATGTCTTAAAGGACTGAAAAGAATAAAAATATGCCTTATCTACAGTGGACACCATTACCTAACTCAGGCTGGTCTACTCTTCTGACTTCTCATGAGAAGCTATAAATCAATATTACTTTTTTTTAACTTATATATGACAATGGAATACATTACAATTCATATTACACATACAGAACACAAACTTTTCATATCTCTGGTTTATACAAAGTATATTCACACCAATTCGTGTCTTTATACATGTACTCTGGATAATGATGTCCGTCAATTCCACCATCATTTCTAACCCCATGCCCCAAGATTACATTAAAAAAAAAAAAAAAAAAAAATATATATATATATATATATATATATATATATATTATATTTTAGTTGTAGTCAAACACAATACCTTTATTTTATTTATTTATTTTTATGTGGTGCTAAGGATTAAACCCAGCGCCTCGCACTTGCTAGGCAAGTGCTCTACTGCTGAGCAGCCCCTCCAAGATTAATAAAAAAAAAGGTATTGTGCCCAACTGTAACCAAAAAATTTTTTTTAAAAAGTCACTGCAAAAACTTATTGCATAATTAAAAACAAAACAAAACAAAACAAAACAAAAAACTCACTTCTTTTAAACATAAAAGGCTTACAGTACCAATCTAACTAACTGGCTTACAGGCAGGTTACTGGTTTGTGATCACTGCCTCACATTAAGTAATAGGATAATATCTTTGCATTAGAAAATCAAGTCTATTAAAATATAMGTTTTTACATACTTGAAAGCAAGCCCCTCAAAGACTGGTGTTAAGGGAAGCTTAAAAGTCTGACAGAGTGATATGGCGGTGTCAAAGAGGCCAGCCTGAACCAAGAGAGCAACCATCTCCTCTGCTGAGGAACTTCCTGTGGAAATGGAAAATGGCTAGTTAGTTCACCCAAGGGTATCTGCTTTGCTTTGTCGATGAATATCTCAGAGTTAACAACCCTTCACTCTGTACCCACCCAGCACACTGCTTAGCCCTACAGTTGCTACTGTACTGACACATTAGAGGTTTTAAATTCTTACCTGCAACTGCAACTGCTGAMGGATCATGCTGAGCCAGAGTGAGACGAATGCGAGCCAAGGAGCACTCTTTCTCCAGATCTTCCAGTTCTAAGATTTCAATTTGCCGATTGGCTAGAAATCAAAAGAAAATTACTTTCAATTCCCAAAGTACAAAAGATTTGTCTGTTAGATTAAGGTACTGTTGTCATTTTCCACTAAACATTAAGTGAACATTCAGTTGGGCCTCAGTAAAAGCTAATTTTAAAAATTAGCAACATCCTTGCTTCACTTGTACTGATGAGTCAAGTCAAAGCACTCTAATCACCAGCTGTGGTCGAGGAGGTGCTTACCAGTTATTTACATGTAACTTTATTTAAGTCTTACAACTGTGAAACACTACCATCTCTATCAACAAGAAAGGAACATGGCCAAGGTGAGAGAGGCAGAATTAAAACCAGGTGTGTTCAAATCTACAGCACAGGCTCTTAATGAAAGACTTCATGTCCCCCTGGTAATATTAAAGGAACCAGAGGAAAAAAATGGTATTAAGCTGATTTAAATACAACAGGCAACAAAAACACTGTCTTTTAAGCATTTTCATTTCTCATAGTACCATAGAGTATTTTCAAAGGGCTACCATACCAGAAAACCTTCAGCAGATTAAAATGCTGAAAACAAAAAAAAGGAATTTTGCCATATTTTAATGTCACTATTGTATATTATTTATAGTATATAACATATAGTTATAACTGTCTATGTTATATATAACCATCTATAGATCTACTGAAAATATAACTACTGTTCAGCAAAGATCAGCATGAGACCTTGACTCACTTGGGGCAGCTGTGCACTCTCCATCATGATTCCTTTTAGGGGATGCTCCAGGGCGATCATACTGATAAGACAAAACAAAGATTAAACTGTGAAAATTGGTATTTTTATTTTGATATCATTAACAGCGATTTAGAGATTACATGCTTAAATCTTTTCAATAGAAATTATTTTTACTTCACCCAGCACARYTCTTCTTACACAGGTGCTGTGGCTATCAAATGGAGTCATCTGCCAAGCTGGCTCACTTTACTATAAGCATTACTAAGTCCAAAGACATGGACTTGATCTCCATATAAGTCACATGGTTTTCCTTAGTTCCAAAGTTATAATTTCTATTGAAAATCCCAGGCAATAGCCAATAAATGTAGGAACTATACAACACAAGGAACTGGGYATATGTGACCCATGAGCATGGTGGGAAAAATTCAAAGGTTTGTATTCTTTAAAACAATTGCAAACTGAATTAATAAACATGTTTGAAATAAAAGCAATTGTTTATTAAACACTTTTTGTGGGCCAGACACTATCACTGTTTTAGGCAATGTACTCAAATTATCTTTTTTTTTTTTTTGGTATTGGAGATTGAATTCAGGGGAACTTGACCACTGAGCCACATCCTCAGGGCTATTTTGTGTTTTATTTAGAGACTGGGCCTTGCTTTTGCTGAGGCTGGTTTTGAACTTGCAATTCTCCTGTCTCAGCCTCCTACGCACTGGGATAACAGGCATGTGCCACTGCCTGGATCAAATTATCTTTTAATACCCAAATAATCCTTTACAAGGTAGACACTATAAACCCTATTTTATGCAAGAGGTTAACCAAATAACAAAAGATTAAAGAACTTGCCTGAAGTCAGACAAGGTTAACTCCAAAGCCACTCTACAATAAGTCTTCCTACAAAAATTCTGAACTTGGGAATTAAAGGGACAGTATTCTATTATAGTTGAATTGCTGCAAAGAGTTTAAGTTTATAAGTACCTCTGCAGAAATTTTAAATGAAATGATGCAAAATAAGATAATAGTTTTGCAAGGACAAAACTAAAGATTAATTGATCCCCAAATTCTAAAATGGAAAGTTTTCATACCACTGCACCAGATGCTGGCTGCACAATCCATGCATATTCTGGRCGAATAAGTCGTAAACAATTGATAGCAGCCAGATAACAGTTGCCTTGCTTCTCAAGTCCCCGGAGAGTTCGAACCTCTCTGCCAAGACGCATTCCATATTCAAACATCACTGTGCCAGCTATGAGGCAATAATAAATTAGACATAAGAATTTAAAAAATGTTTCCTTAGAGATACACACAGAGGGCCAGGCATGGTGGTGCATACACATGAGAACACTTAACAAAAGGTTAAGATGGCAATTTTATGCTATGTGCATTTCAACACAGTTTGAGAAATATGGGAAATGTTATTGTTGATCTTTACTTATTTTTAAAATTTTCACATTTTAAAAAGTTTTGTTTATTTAAAATTTTGTAGTTGTAGATGGACAGCATACATTTATTTTATGTTTATTTTTATGCAGTGCTAAGGATCAAACCCAGAGCCTCACACATGGTAGGCAAGGGCCARCCCAAGTTTTATTTTTAATTGACAATATTTATGGGGTATATTCCACATACATTGTGGAATGAGCAAATCAGGCAAATTAACATTATCTGTCACCTCAAGTATTTATCATTTCTTTGTGATGAATTTTTGGCTTTTAGACACACCCCCATACCAAATGTAGTCTAGCTTTTTTTTCGGGGCAGGGGACAGTAACGGGAATTGAACTTAGGGTTCGAATATACTAGGTACGCACTGAACTATATACCATGTCTTTTTTTTTTGGTGGAATTTCTTAATAATTTTATTTATTTATATATTTATTTTTATGTGGTGCTTAGGATTGAACCCAGTGCTTACATGCTAGGCAAGTGCGCTACCACTCAGCCACAACCTTAGCTCACATCCCATGTCTTTACTGAGCTACAAAACACCATTCATTACATTGAATGAGATACTAAAAAATACATTATTCTAGGATAGCGTGGGACTCCAGGGCATTTAAAAATCATACTTTTTTGTTTTCATTAAAAATACCCTATAAAAACCAAAACAAAAAGTTTTTTTTTTTCTTTCTTTTTTTTGTGGTGCTGGGAATTGAACTCAGGGCCTTGTGCATGCAAAGGCAATAGCAATAAATGCAGGAACTATACAACACAAGGAACTGGGCATATACGACCCATTAAATAAATGCATCTACCAACTGAGCTATATCCCCAGCCCTAAAAACTGCACTATTTAAAAAAAAAATTTACAGCAAATATTTTTTGAGCTCCTGTAATACACAGGACATTGTTAGAAGTACAATCTCTCTCTCATCAGGTGCGGTGATGCACGCCTGAGATCCTAGCAGCTGGGGAGGCCGAGACAGAAGGATCATGAGTTCAAAGCCAGCTTCAGCAATTTAGCGAGGCACTAAGCAACCCAGTGAGCCCCTGTCTCTAAATAAAATACAAAATGGGGCTGGGGATGTGGCTCAGTGGTTGAGTGCCCCTGAGTTCAATCCCTGGTACCACAAAAAAAAAAAAAAAAAAGAAAAAGAAAGAAAGAAGTACAGTCTCTCTTCAGAAGAACTGAACATTAGTTAATCTTGCTAAATTGGTCCTAATCAGGTTGATACAATGGATATTACAATGCAAGCAGATAATGAGAGATCTTTAATTATTTCTTTTCCTGCATGATAAAAAATCTAAAGAATAGCAGTAATACATGTTTATAAAAATTCCACTACTCAGGAGGCTGAGGCAGGAGGTTTCCAAGTTTGAGGCTGGTCAGGGCAATTACCAAGATTTTGTCTCAAAAATAAAGAATAAAAAGRGCTGGAGAGGAGATGTASCTTAGGAATAAAGTACTTGTTTGAGTCCCAGTACCACCAGAAAAACAAATAAATAAAACCAAACTAAATTAGTCACATTTTCTTAATTTGAAGATCGCATCAACATTATGTAAAAGAATGTCTTTAGGAGAAACAGCTGGACTAATTATGTGTTAATAGACATGATATCCATAACTTACTCTCAAAGTGATAAGCAAAAAATAAACAAATAATTAAGTAAATAAGTAGAGAAAATGAGAGAAAGGAAATAAGGAAGGTAGGAAGATAGGAAAAAAGATGTGGCAAAATAGTAATAATTGTTGAATTTGGGTGAAGGATACATGGGTTGGTGATACTGTACTAATATTTAGTTTTTCTGTAGACTTGAAAGATCTTAAAAACTAAAAAGTTGAGGGGTTGCAGGTATAGCTCAGCTTGTATAAGTTTAGCATGTATGAGTCTGTGGATTCAATTACCAGCAAAAAAAGAAAGTGAAAAATAAGAATTCACTAGGCTATCATTTAATTAAAAAGAGAGAGCCAGGCACGGTGGTGCMYGSCTGTAATCCCAGCGACTTGGGAAGCTGAGGTAGGAGGATTGCGAGTTCAAAGCCAGCCTCAGCAACTTAATGAGGCACTTGCAACTAARTGGGACCCTATCTCTAGATAAAATATTAAAAAGGGCTGGAAATGTGTCTTAGTGGTTAAAAACTTGTGGGTACAATTCCTAGTACCAAAAAAATTAAAATAAAATAGAGAAAGGAGAGAGAGAAGAATGCAGTAGGATCATTAATAAAAAAAGTTCACTAGGAGATCACTCAGAAGGCAGTAGGATATCATTAATAAAAAAATTTACTAAGAAATCATTCAATAACCTCTGTGAAATTTACAACTCTCTAAGGGTTTTGCATAAAATTGAAGAGATGTGAGATTTCAACCATCTATAATTAAGAATGCTATGTACTATATTTATTTATTTATTTTGAATTTATTTTTTAGTTGTAGTTGGACACAATATCTTTATTTTATTTATTTATTTTTATGTGGTGCTGAGGATCGAATCCAGGGCCTCACACGTGCTAGGCGAGTGCTATACCACTGAGCCACAACCGCAGCCCTATCTATTATATTTAGATGACCTAAGTAGCAGAATTTTACTCCAACAACTAAAATAAAGAGAGGAAGCCTCGGGTAAAATAGCCTACACACACAAAACTAGTTAAAAAAACCCAAAAAACAAAAAAAACTATCTCTAGTGGAAAAGCTCAAGCTTCCTATATTTTATTTTTTTTAAATATTTTTTTTGTAGCTGTACACGATAACTTTATTTATTTATTTAWTTTTTATGTGGTGCCGAGGATCGAACTCAGAGCCTTGAACATGCAAGGTGAGAGCTCTACTGCTGAGCCATAACCCAAGCCCCTCAAGCTTCCTTTATAACTGGAGAGAAAATCCACATAGAATGCCATCTCACTGGAAATAATCTGAGAATGTTCTAGAATGGGGTAAGTATAGAAATACATCTTCAAAGCTAACAGGTAATCTTCAAAAGGATGAAGTGAAGCTTGTACTTAAACACAACTAAAGCTTAGATAAGCCCAACACACATTTTTGATAAAATATTATTAAACTTATAAGGCAGCCTCCAATACCAAGTGTCTTTGTTCAGTTGCTCACCTTTGCGGTAATTGTGGCGATAGATGTGAAAGGCATAGAGAAGTTCATAGTAATTGTGAGTCATAAGGTCCACAGCTCTAGCACGAGATTCAATTATTGCCACAACCTAATGTAGGAAAAACAATGAGGCATCGATGTTAGTAGCAATCGTGACAACCAACAGAGTTGTTTCTAGACATCAGTGGATACATAAAATTACCTCATTATGCAGATTCACATAAGGAAACTCTACAAGATCCTGTAGCTGTGAGCGTTCACAGAGAACTACCACTAGTTGCCGTAAACAATCTAACTGCCTGGAAGAAAAGAAAGGGTTATAAGGGTAAAATGCCATAGTGGGTTAAACAGGGCTGGTAAATTTTTTTTTTTTTTTTTAATATTTATTTTTTAGTTTTTGGCAGACACAACATCTTTGTTTATATGTGGTGCTGAGGATCGAACCCAGGATGCACGCATGCCAGGCGAGCGCTCTACAGCTTGAGCCACATCCCCAGCCCCCAGGGCTGGTAAATTGCCTTGTGTTAAAAAGACTGTAAGATTACCTGCTGGAGTCAGGAATTTGGGTTAAGGCTTCATATGCTTGGCTGTTGTGACCCAAATCCAAATGATGTTTGAAAATGCATGTCCGTAAAGTAGCCTAAATATCAAATTKAGATCAAATATCAAAAAAGGGCAAAGAAAATTAAAATACAATGTCCAGAAAAACAAAGCAAATAATAGTTTTTACCTGACTTTTCCAGTCATCACCTGCTTCAGTTATTGCTGATGTAGCCAACTGAATAACCAGCTCAGGCAATCCAACAACATCTAGAAGACGTAAAACCTAAAGAGAAATTCAAGAAATTTTCATTAAAATAAATATGGCAGTGGTACTCCAAATTGAATTATTGTTCAAAATTAGTCAGAAACATCATTAGGTAAGTAAGATTAAATTAAAGGCACTGATAAGGGGACTAGGGAGGTAGCTCAGTGGGAGAGCCTTGCCTAATAGGCTTGAGGCCCTGGGTCCCATCTTTAGAACCATTCAGAAATAAGGTGCTGATAAAATGGACAGGATTATTTGGTTAATATTAAGATTTTTCTTTAGATTCTACTGTTATATAAAGGCTTGTTATAAAATCTATTTGTTTTTCCAGATAATAACACTGGAATAATGGCTCACAAGTTACAGATAATTTTGATTGTGTTAGGTTGGAACAGAGAAAGATAAAGTTAAGAGAGAGAGAGAGTCTTAACATGTTCTTTATAGAACAAACCAACCACTATTAATAAATAATAGAGGGATTAAATATTGGGCCTTTTTTTTTTTTTTTTTGCATCAGTGATTGAACCCAAGGCTGTTTTTACCACTAAGCCACATTCCCAGCCTTCTTTTATTTTTATTTTGAGACAGGGTCTTGCTAAGTTGCTTAGGGCCTCACTAAGTTGCTCAGACTGGCCTCAAGCTTGTGATTCTCCTGCCTCAGTCTCCCAAGTCCCTGAGATTATGGTCATACACAACCACACCTGACTTGGGCTTTTTTTAAGAGATGGGGTCTCATTATGGCACCCAGGCTGGCCCCAAACTCCAAAGCTCAAGTAATGTTCCTGCCTCAGGCTCTTGAGTACTGGGCCTATAGAACTGATTCCCCACCACATCCAGCTTTGTCCTTTTGTTTTGCCAGTGTGAGAAAGTAATGAAATATTCCCCAAAGATATGAATGTGTCTATATCCTTATATTCACATGCCTTCAATAAGAAGCTGGGGGTAGCTGGGCACAGTGGTACCTGCCTGTAATCCCAGCAACTCAAGAGGCTGAGGAAGGAGAATCGCAAATTTGAGGCCAGCCTCAGCAACTTAGCAAGACACTATCTCAAAATTAAAAGGCGGCTCATGTCTATAATCCCAGCCGATAAGGAGGCTGAGGCAGGAGGATCTTGAGTTCAAGGCCAGCCTCAGCAACTCAGTGTGGCCCTAAGCAACTTAGCAAGACCCTATCGCTAAATAAAAAAAAATATATAAAAAATGGAGGGGGATATGGCTCAGTAGTCAAGTGCCCCTGGGTTTAATCCCTGGTATCAAAAAAATAAAAAAGACTGGGAATGTAGCCTAGTGGTAAAGTACCACTGGATTCACTCCCTAGTACCAACCAACTAACCAACCAACCAACCAACCAACCAACCAACCAACCAACCAACCCAAAAACCTGGGGATACAAAAAGTACTTACTTGCCAGGAATAGCTTTACCCTTGGTAGGTATTAATCATATTCACCCTCACAGTAATTGAATGATTTTACAGATGAAGAACTTGCGTAAGGTCGTAGTCCAGAGATCTGGGACTTAAATCTTAGCATGTGGACCCGAGAGCCTACCACTATGGAGTTTCAAAGATATTCTCATAACAAACTGAACACTTCCTGGCCTACTTCGTTGATCTGCTTTACTTTTATTCAGAGCACATATCACTGCCTGACATTAAATTATTTGTCTAGTCTCTTTCCAACCTGTATTTTAAGTACCACAAGAACAGGGAATAGTGAACAGGGAGTAGCGGTGGTACTTAGAACCTTATCCTCCGATCCTAAACCAGTGCCTTATACACAGTAGGCTCTCAGTGAATATTTGTTAAATGAAAGAACAAACACAATTTTACAATAGAACTAGCATCCCTAGTCCAAAACTCTGAAAATGCTCCAAAATCTGAAACTGAGGGCTGATAGGCCACCACAGGTGGAAAATTCATCTGACCTCATGAGAGGGGCCACAGACAAAACACTAAAAATTTATGTAAAATTACCTCAGGCTATATGTGTAAGGTATAATATGAAACATAAATAAATTTTGTGTTTGGACCTAGACTCCTCCCCAGGATATCTCATATGTATATGTAAACATTAAAAAAAAAAAATCTGAGCTGGGCATGGTGGTGCTCGATGTAATCCCAGTGGCTTGGGAGGCTGAGGCAGGAGGATCAATCAAAGCCAGCCTCAGCAACAGTGAGGTGCTGAGCAAGTCAGTGAGACCCTATCTCTAAATAAAACACAAAATAGGGTGGTGATGTGGCTCAGTGGTAAAGCACCCCTGAGTTAAATAAATCCCAGGTTACCCCCCTGCAAAAATGAAACACTTTTGTTTCCAAGCATTTTGGTTAAGGGATATTCAATCTGCATAAACTTTTCCTATAAACTGTTTATGTTGCTGATGAATTTAAAGCATAGTAAATGAACATCATAGTGTAACAAAGCCCTAAAGAGTTTTTTTTTTTCCCCTTCTCTGTGGCACCGGGGATTAAACCCAAGGCCTACGCATGCTAGGCAAGCATTCTACCACTGAGCTACATCCCCAGCCCTTTTTATTTTAAGACAGAGTCTCCTGAAATTGCTTAGAACCTCCCTAAGTTGCTTTGGCTGGCCTCAAACCTTCCTTCCTTAGATTCCTGAGTCACTGGGATTACAGGTGTACACCACCACGCCCAGCTTCCATGAATATTTTAAATCTACATTGTAAAGGAGAGTTTCATCAAATCTATCCAACCAGGTAAATAACCTACTGAAATCAGATGGACAAGAGAAGGTGTTACACCCTCACCCCTGTTGTGATGCTTTCTCTTCCCTCTGATGCCTGCTTTAAGATGGACAAATGATCACCTGTAAGAGCCAAGAGCTGGGCTTGGCAGCATACACTAGTAATCCCAGAGACTCAGGAGACTGAGGCAGAAGTCCTCCTGTCTTAGCCTCCTGAGTTGCTGGGATTCCTTCCAGTCATGTGCTACTGTGCCCAGCAGGTTTTCTCAATTTGTCTAGGCAAGTCCATCTTCTTCTCACTTAGCAGTTCTGGGAACAATTAAGTTTTTTAGTATTTTTCTTAAAAAATATCAAAGCAGCCAGGCAGGTGTGGTGGCACATGCCTGTAATCCCAGCTGCTCTGGAGGCTGAGTCAGGAGGGTTGCCAGTTCAAAGCCAGCCTCAGCAAAAGTGAGGTGCACACTAAGCAGGGAGCTGGTAGAGCTCTTGCCTCACACGTTGAGGTACTGGGTTCGATCCTCAGCACCACATTAAAAAATAAATAAATAAAATAAAGATATTGTGTCCATCTACAACTAAAAAAAAAAAAAGCACACTAAGCAACTCAGTGAAACCATGTCTCTACGTAAAATATTAAAAATGGCTCAGTGGGGGCTGCGGTTGTGGCTCAGCAGTAGAGTGCTTGCCTAGCATGTGTGAGGCACTGGGTTCAAGTCTCAACACCACATATAAACAAATAAATATATAAGTGTCCATCAATAACTAATAAAAATTAAAAAAAAAAAAAAAGGCTCCATGGTCAAGTGTCGAGTTCAATCCCTGGTACAAAAAAAAAAAAAAAAAAGCAATATATCTTAGATACATTTCTATACAAGTATATAAGAAGAGCCAAACAACAGCACTGTACCTTATCATAATACTGCAGCCTGGGGGAGGATACAATGTCCCCATCCTCTGAGCGGATCAAGCGATCTAAGAATTCTTCTTTGCCCACTTCTGATGCTGCCTGACAGAAACATTCCAAAGCCTGGAAAAAATTTAAAAAGTACAAAGTGACCTATAAAGTTTTAGTGATATAAATCAGGTTCATATGCTAAGGAAAGCCAAAAGAGAAAGTATTTAAGATAGTATACCACTACTCACAGTTTCTGCCACATATAAATTCTGATACATCATTTAATATTTCTTTAATTTTTCTCACTTTTTATTTAAATGCTATTAATTTAAAAAGTAAACTTTAATAAGACGACTGATGGATAGATAAGTAATAAAGCAAACTGTAGCAGCATGTGAACAACTAYAGAATTTGAGTGGTGGCTGTATAACTATTCACCGTGAAAGTCTTCAAACTTTTCTGCATATTTAAAATCTACAAAATAGGATATCAGGGGAAAAAAATTAAAAATATAAACATTATCTTAACAAAAAAAAAGATGAAAAAGCAAACAACAAACAAACAGATACATGAAAATGTGATTAATGAATAAAATTTTATTTTGCTTTGGGGCAGAAAGGTCTTAATGTTTCGTCTTATTTTCCTAAACCCTAATAAAACCTGAGTGTAAGAAGCCAACCTGATATTATGCCCTTCACTGGTACCAGTACAGTACTCATATGCTAAGGAACCCTTTTGCGGAGGACTCTGTGCTTCCCACCCCATAATCCAGATGAAAACTAAAACATCCTCCTTGCACTAGAGGTTATTCACCACTTAAATGGACTTCACCTTTTGTCCTTCGCCTGTAACTAGGTAACAACGTCCCAGCATAAATCGACAGGAACCAACATTGACTTGACACCAGGGATGTAGCAGTTGAATATAATCCTTAAGGACATAAAAGGTAGTTTTTGATTAGAAAATAAACACTACTTAAGGAGATAGTCATTTCTTCATAGAAGGAGAGAAGACACTTTGATCAGTACAAAAGTTTTATTTCTAGAAATAATCTGGAGACTGAAGCCTAATTCTGTTAATGCATTCTTATATTAGGCTAGACACCTTAAGAAAGCATAGACAGCTGGGCATGGTGACTTGGAGCATCATAAGTTTGAAGCCAGCCTGGGCAACTTAGTGAAATTCTGTCTCAAAATAAAAAAATTAAAAGGAATGGAGATGTAGCTTAGTGATAAAGTGACCCTAGGCTYAATACTCAGCACCACACATACATATAAACGAGCTGGGTGTGGTGGCGCATACCTGTAGTCCTAGCTTCTTGGGAGACTGAGATAGGAGGATTACCTGAGCCCGAGTTTGAGACCAACCTGGGCAACAGAACAAGTTTCTGTCTTAAACAAAACAAAATAATAACAAAAATAAACAAATAAAAAACAAGCAAAGAGGAGTCCAGTAACACACACATGTAAATATATACATGCTTCACATCTTAGAAATTTTCCAATTTTTAATATTTACTGGTTCAATGACTAAAGTACAATAAAGGATTTCTACTAAGACAGTGATATGCTTGTTTTATATAAAGAGAAACTAATAAAGAGGATTTTWAAAAACCAAAAAGATATGAGAAAAAATTATATTACCAATAATACTACCAAGAGAGAAGTAGAGAATATAATTTTGGAGTGAATATTAATGCAATCAAATTTAATTTTTGCTGGGTGCCAAGCCTTTGGGAGGCTGAGGCAGGAGGATCTCAAGTTAGAGGCCAAACCCTGCCTCAACAAATAAAAAGGGCTGGTATATAGCTCAGTGGTAGCCATGAATTCGACTCCCAGTACCAAAAAAAAATTTTTTTTTCAAGTTTTTCAGGGCATTGTGGTGGACACCTGTAATCCCACATTTCAGGGAGCTGAGGCAGGTGGATCCCAAGTTTGAGGCTACCTTTAGCAACTTAGCCAGACTCTGTCTCAAAATAAAAAATAAAAAGGGCTGGGAATATAGTTCAGTGGTAAAGCACCCCTGAGTTCAATTCCCTGTACTGCAAAAAAAAAAAAAAAAAAAATCAATTTTTGTGGTTCTTCCTAACAGTCCAATTAAAATGCAAACGACATTCACAAAGGAAAAAAATCCATCAATCCCATTCTTCAAAAGAGTGATTAAACCTGAAATGTTAAAATGAACTTACCTGCAATTGTACATACTGACAATTTCCCATCAAACATTCTAGAAAGAGACAACCAGGATTGCTAGGCCATCTAGTCACTGGATAAGGAGGTTTTTTACTTTTTTGGTGAAATTTAACCATATATCTTGGGCATCAAAAGTCATGAAAGTCCACAAAATAGTATAATTTTTTAAAAAGTGAGAGCTGGGGGATATAACTCAGTGGTATAATACTTGCTTAGGATTTATAAGGTCCTGAATTTTATCCCTAGCACCATAATACAAAAAACAAAACAACAAAAAAAAATCCTACAACCCAAACATGCAAAAAAGGAATGAGAACATACGCTTTTCCTATATTACCATGTAACATTAATATTCGACAAACACAAAGAAAAGATTATAAATAGCCATGCAGTATGAGAAGATATCTTTTTTTTTTTTTTGAGAGAGAGAGAGAGAGAGAGAGAGAGAGAGAGAGAGAGATTTTTTTTAATATTTATTTTTTAGTTTTTGGTGGACACAACATCTTTGTTTGCATGTGGTGCTGAGGATCGAACCCGGGCCGCACGCATGCCAGGCAAGCGCGCTACCGCTTGAGCCACATCCCCAGCCCGTAACAAAGATTATTTATCATTTCAAAACAGAAAATGCACCATGGGTGTAATTGGTAGCAATATAAACAAAAACAATTTGTAAACTGAAGTATTAAATAAAAGMAATGATAATGACTATTAAATCAACATTGCAAATTTTCATAGATCTCACCACCTGAAAGTGCCTTTCCTAGGACCTACATATAATAAACACAATCAGTCCTAAGATTTCAAGTTTTATTCCAAAACAGTACAAAATAAATTCTCTAGAGTAATGGTTTTCAAGGATGAGAGAGGACTCCTTTTAATTTGTTAACTAAGACTAGATTATAAAAGCTACCATTAACTTAGTAAATTTATAAACGATTAAATTAAGGGCTAATGCAAGTGAGAGACTCTCAGGAGTCTTAAATTACCTTACTAAAATTTGTTCTTATTTTCACCATGTATATCTATGGGATCAGAGCTTCATAGACTCTGCTACAACCAGGTCTTAGGCCACAGCTTCTCATGCCTTCTAGTGAAAGCAAAGAGCATGACCAACATTTCCATAGCAAAGATGGCAAAAGAACACATTAATAAATATGCAATAAACCTCCAAACCCAAATCAAATGCATACACAGTCCTTACCAAACTTGTTTGTCATTAAAGTACCAGAGTCAGTTAGTTCCAGTACTGACAAGTGTTGGAGATTAGACTCCCTGTGAGAAAAGAAAAAAAAGGACAGCTTAGTAATTCTCCCATGCTAAACATTATGTCCACAAGTTTTCCTAAAAGGGACACCGTAAATTGTATATAAAAGCTTCTTTGAAAGCACAAAGAAAAAGCGAAAAACCAAAGGATTTAGATTATTGTCCATTATATTATTCAACGATGAGCCACAGCAAGCAGGATGGTTCATCTTACCAAAAAAACTGAATCTTGGGCCGGAGATGTAGCTCTGTGGTAGAATGCTTGTTTGGCACACCCTGGGTTCAATGCCTGTACCACAGAGTTTTGAGTGGTGGGAGGACCAAAAGAAAAGTGAATCTTGTAATTATTAGATTTTTTTTTCTTCCTTTGGTTATAAAAAAGTTCAGCATAATGTTTCCGTGTATGATCTAACTTTCCTTTTATCTTCATCTCATTCCTTTGCCTTCAACATGATTTATCTGTATGTTACACATGCATTATTATAAAACACATTTGTAATAAAGATGTGCATTTTTTATTTTCATCTTTTAAATTGCTTTCAACCTTTAGAAAATGGAGCATCTAAAAATTTTCTGAGTTGGGCAAGGTAGTGCATCCCTATAATCCCAGCTAATATTCTTTATATTTGGGGGGCTGGGGCTGGGGCTGAGTGGTAGAGTGCTCGCCTAGCATGTGTGAGGCACTCGGTTTGATCCTCAGCACCACATAAAAATAAAAGTACTATGTCCACCTACAACTAAAAATATCTATATATTTAAAAAAAAGAAAAAAAAGAATATTTGGGAGACAAGGCAGGATAATTGCCAGTATGAGGCCAACCTAAACAACTTAGTGACAGCCTGTCTCAAAATAAAAAGYAAAAGGCTGGAGATGTAGTTCAGGGGTTCAATCTCCAGTAAAGCAAAATTAAAAGTGAAAATTATCTTCAAGGCAAATTATTTGACAACATGTTTTAAAAAAAAAAAAAAACTTAGCAAGTGTTTATTTGGCTTGGGAATGTGGCTTGGTTGTAGAGTATTTGCCTAGCATACACTAGGCTTTGGGTTTGATCCCCAGCACTACCAAGGAAAACAAGAAAATAAACAAAATTAAAGAAAAACAGAAAAAATAATTAAACTCACAATTTATTTTAAAATAATTAGGAAAAGGAAACTCACAGTGTGTCCACTGGAACATCAGTTGCCAAGCACTGACTTCCCCACTTAATGAGGTAATAGGATAAGAGCAGGGGAGCCGTCCGATGAAGCAGGTCTTGCTGAGCTTGAAAGAGCTGGCCAGCTCCCAAAATCACCTATGCATAATGGAAGAGATGGTCACCACACAATTAGTAATGGTAACTCTCAAGTTTCAGGTGAAGTAAAATAAAATAGCATACATAGCTATAAAGGGCACAATATTTTACCTATTACATTCTGGGATAGCAATGGAAAAACGCCTTCCCAGATATAAACAGACCCAAAATAATAATAATAATAATAATAATAATAATAATAATAATAATAATAATAAACTTTTCCAAATTATGGGAGCTGATGATGAAAAGAAACTTTGATTAAATCTGTGGGCTTAGAATTACAGGGAACAGGGAAATCTAAATATCCTTGTTTGCTGCTGGTGTTAGGTAAAAATGGGTCTGATTAGTACAGGCAGATTTGGCAAAACTTCTAAAACCTAAAAGTGTGCATAGACTCTGACCAAACAATTCTAGTTCTTAGAATTCACTCTAGAGATAAAACCAAAGATGTACAGAAAGTTATACATAATCAGGGAAAACCTGGCAGTAGTCATAAAGAGAAGTGGTTGAGTACATTAAAATTGCACTAAGTATAAATACAAAATAATGTGGGAAGACCAATGAGATTTACAAAAATGGAAAAATGAAAACTAGGTTACAAAAAATATTAAGTGGCATATCCTAATTGCACAAATAAAACCAAAAAACTATTTGAATAGAAAAAAAGAGTATAAAAAAATCAAAATGTCAATAGTGGTTGTTACTGGGTAGAAGATACAGATGAATTTTTATTATTTTTGCTTATATATATTTTATAAGAAAAGGCTATTATTTCTTTCTTGTTTCAAATTGTCTAATTATTGGTTTTTAGCTACACATTAGGATTCATTTTGACATAATCATATAAACATGGGACATAATTTGTTCTATTTAAGTCTCCAGTACTTTCCCTCCCAATGGTTCCCTTCCCTCCACTCCATTGATCTGCTATTAATATTTTCTTTAACTAGTGTCTTGTTGATGTACATGATGGTTAGATTCACTGTGGTATATTCATATATGTACATAAGAAAGTAGGTTTAGATTCATTCTGTCTTTCCCTTATCCTGTTTTTCCTCCCACTACTCCACTGATCATTCTTTTATTTTTTTATTCTTCCCACCTCCTACTTATTTTGAATTAGCTTCTGTATACCAGAGATAACATTCCAACTTTAACTTTTTGGGATTGGCTTATTTCACTTGGCATGATAGTTTCCAGTTCCACCCATTTACTGGCAAATGCCATAATGTCATACTTCTTTATGGCTGAGTAATATTCCATTGTGTAAATATACACTACATTTTATTTATCCATTAAGGGCTCCACAGCCTGGCCAATGTGAATTGTGTTGCTATAAACATTGATGAGGCTGTGTCACTGTAGTATGCTGATTTTAAATCTTTTGGATATATACCGAGGAGAGGAACAGCTGAAGGTAATTATTATTACTTGTAGTAAACTGCAAGAGATTAGAAACCCAGAAACACACACACATACACACACACACACAAAACAAACAAACAAACAAACAAAAAACCTGTGAAGAAATGCAAGTATTTACACAGATCACAAAGAACTTAATAAGGGTTAACCCAAGTGACATACTCTCAGGACAGGATCCTTTTTTTCCTTGGTGTTCTTAAAAATTTCTAACTTTTTTTTTGAGTGGGGGTACTGGGATTGAACTCAGGGGCACTCAACCACTGAGCCACATTCCCAGCCCTTATTTGTATTTTATTTAAAGACAGGGTCTCACTGAATTGCTTAGTGCCTTGCTTTTTGCTGAGGCTGGCTTTGAACTTGAGATCTTCCTGCCTCAATCTCCTGAGCCACTGTGCTGGCTAAAAGTTTGTTCTTATTTTTGCCTGAAATTTTAATAATAGCAATGTATTTGAGTTAATAAATTCTGATTTTAAAGTATATTACTTCGGGGAGACCTATTGGCTTTTTGGCTCTTTATTCATTAACATGGATAATTTTAATCAGATTGCTTCCTTGCCAGGGTCAAATGAGATTATTGACTCAGAAACAAATGGGGTGTGAGATTCTGGGTTGGCTCCTCAGCACTGGGGTGGGCAGTGGGGACACATATACTTTACTATGGGCAGAAAAGTAATTTTTAGCATAGAACATCCAGTAGGTGGAGCAATCAGGATTTGTGATGGCACTGAARTCTGGTAGTCTGAGAAGAATTAAGATGGAAAAGAAAGCACAGAATGGAGTTGGGAAGACCACAGAGGCAAACTTTACAACCTCAAAATTGTGCTTAGGGTAAGCCCTGGCCCACAGAAAGAGAAAAATTGTTCTTCTTTTCTTCTTTCCTCTACACTAAAGGGTATTCTGCTATCACATCCAGGGTAATACTTATAATACCAGTTTTTGGGACCACCAATCTGAGAAAATTTTGTATTACTATACATTCAAAGGTTAATAACAAAGCAATCTGCTTCACATATATTCCTATTCTGTAACCTTAGATTATGACATTCATTTATACTTAACTCCACAAATATTTACAGAGCACCTAGTAAATATGGGAGATAAAGCAGTGAAGAAAGACAAGTGTCTACTTTTTAAGCTCAACAGCCTACTGTATGCTTCCAGATCTCTGTCAGGTTTTAGATTTTGTAAGTGTTCCCTCAAACAATACTTACTGCATCTCCTAGCCTCATCAGTAGTTGCTGTAAGATCAAGAGGTCTCGGCAGATCAGGAATCGAGTACTAGCAATTCTATACACGCCTCTGCACACAATACACCCCGCTGAGCTACTACCATAGAGCTGGGAAAGGTTCATTCGAACATTCAAAGGCTGAGCTATAATAAGAAGAAAAATGGAGTTAAATGTTATCACTCTTTTCTCGAAATCAAAAGACACATTTGTTGTTTTGTCATTTACCTGAATTGAATCCTTTTTCCATTTCCACTTCTGTTTCATAATCCATTTCCCGTATAAGAAGTCCAATGGCATGGACAGGGTTCCTAATCTCTTGCAGTTTACTACAGATATCTTCCATCACATTTTCTCTACAAGGACAATTAGAAAATTCCGATTATTACTGAGAAGACATAAGACCTACACTCTGTATGTGTTGTAAGCTAAATGCTCTTTGAAACAGGAAAACCAGCCCCATAATAAAGGAGTGGAGATCATCATTTTGGCATACAAGATACTTCCACTTCACATATTAATTTTTCTTCACCTTTCTGCAAAATACAGACAAAATGAACATAAGGAAAATACTTTCTTTTTCATGAATATGTAGCTCACTTAACAGGTGCATCACATTTAATGAGTCTGTTTCTAGGATGAGTGCAGTGGCTCATGCCTGTAATCCCAGTGGCTTGGGAGGCTAGGGCAGGAAGATCATGAGTTCAAAACCAGGCTTAGCAACAGTGAGGTGCTAAGGAACTCAGTGAGACCTTGCCTCTATAAAACACAAAATAGAGCTCAGGATGTGGCTCAGCAATTAAGTGCCCCTGAGTTCAATTCCCAGTACCAAAAAAACAAAAGGAAAAAACAAACAAACAAAAAACCCCTGAAAACAGGGGCTGCTGATGTAATGTAAGTCAGTGGTAGAGCACTTGCTTAGAGCAGCATGTTCAAGGTCTTCAGTCAAACCCCAGCACCGCAAAGGGGATAATACCTGTTTGGAATCAAGTATAGTCACTAACTTTAAGCCATTACTTTGTAGACACTTGAACATCCAAAACCTCATGTTGGCACTAAAAATTGCTGAATTTCCATTAGGAAATACACTTTAGCCTAAATTCTCCTTACACGTCATTAGTGATCAAATCTTCCAAAATCTGTTCTGCAGCCTTTTCTGGAGACTGTAGGTTGTAACAACTCATTTCCATCATAACTGACATATCCATAGTTACAGACTCTCCAATCAACCGGAGGCATTTTATAAGACATATGACATCCCGAGCGACATCCACATCTATGAAGAAGAGAAAGTTAATAATAATAACATTCCTGCCTCAAGCCAAAGAATTATCAAAGGCTGGGATTGTGGCTCAGTGGTAGAGTGCTTGCCTAGCATGTGTGAGGCACTGGGTTTGATTCCCAGCACTGCATATAAATAAATGAATAAAATAAAGGTSCATCAACACCTTAAAAAATATAAGAACTATCAATAATATATTAAAATCAGTATTAGTGGGCTCGAGCTATATGCCTAGTATGTGTGAGGCACTGGGTTCAATCCTTAACACCACATAAAAATAAACAAAATAAAGGCATTCTGTCCATCTACAACTATAAAAAAATTTAAAAATCAGTATTAGCATTAGATGCCAAGGTATCTGAGGTCTAAATGCCAAGGTATCTGAGGTCAAGATGCCTTGACCCCTTCTACTTTTTAAAAAATTCTTAAATTTTTTTTTTTTTTTGTAATTGTAGACGGACAGAATGCCTTTGTTTATTTTTATGTGGTGCTAAGAATCAAACCCAGTATCTCAAGTGCTCTGCCACTGAGCTCCAGCCTGTCCAACCTCTTCAGTTTAAAACCTACTATGAGGTAAACTGACCAAGACAAGTCACAATGGCAATCGAATTTTGCATGAAGTGAAATAAAGGATAGGGTTCAAGTATGAAGGAATCAAATATAGACATAATAATTATTATTACCATCAGAAATGGTTGTCTCATCCTCTGTCACAAGGTTCTCATCAGACAGGAGATACAGATGATCCACTAAGGAGGAGGGCACAAGAAAAGATAGGTACCCCTGGAAACACAAATCTTTCAGTTATATTTGTTTCAGTGAATTTTGAATGAATAAAATAAGTGATAGTCTATAATGTATCATGTGGAGCAACAAATCATGTTGTACATGGTACATATGTATAATTTAAAACATTTAAAAACATTGAAAGGGGCTTGGGTATAATTCAGTGGTAAAGTGCTTGCCTAGCATGCATGAGGTACTGAATTTGATTCCCAACACTGCAACAGGAACAAAAATTGAGATATGAAGTGTGACTCTTATCATGAGAAAACACCAGACAAATTCAAGTTGAAGGACACTATAAAACAACAATAGGTATTGCCTTCAAAAAAATGTCAGTGGAGGAGTTGGGATTGTGGCTCCGTGGTGGAGTACTTGCCTAACATGTATGAGGTACTGGGTTTGATTCCCAGCACCATATATAAAAATAAATAAATAAAACAAAACAAAGGTATTGTGTCCATCTATAACTAAAAAAAAAAAAAGTCAGAGGGCTGGGGCTGTAGTTCAATGGGAGGGTACTTTGGTCAGCATGTATGAGGCACTTGGTTTGATTCTCGGTACAATATGTAAATAAATAAAATAAAGGTCCATCAACAACTAAAAAAAATATTTAAAAATAAGTCAATGGAATGAAAGACAAAGACTGATAAGAGGTCTAAGATTAAGCTAAAGAAATACAACTAAATAATGTAAGATCTTGGATTGGACTTTGACTCAAAAACAATTATGGGCACAATTGGCAAAAGTTGAATATAAACTATATAATATTATATTAATATCAAACAGCCTAAGTTTTAAATTTTGTCATAGTTAATTTAAAAGAATATCCTTGTTCTTAGATACACACCAAAATATTAAGGATAAGGAGACATGATGTCTACAGTTCTCAAGTGGCTCAGAAAGAAAAAAATATAAAATATAAAATGAAGAGCAAATGGCAACAGATGTAGCCCAGTATAGAACACATGCTTAGCCAGATGAATCTAGGTGAAAGGTTATGAAGAAATTCTTTGTTATTCTTATAACTCTTAAGATTGCAATTACTTCAATGTAAACAAATAAGGGGAGAGGAAAGTTAAAGTACTGAAGATTGAAATAAAGCAAACTGTATTACCTACAAGCATGAATGTCAAAATGAACCTCAATATATAACTACAAAACATAAGAAAAACATTTAAAAAGTAAATAAATAAAATAGAAAAAACAAACAAAACACAAAAAGTATAGTTAATAATGAACAAGACTATTAAATACAAATGAAGTATAATTTAAGGAAAAAAATTACAAACACAAAATCCTAAAAGATAAATACACTTAACAAATATTCTGAAGACCCACTGAACTGTCTAAAAAAGAGTTCTTCTGTATGCTTCAGCTCTCTTACTTTTTTCAGTAGGCACACCATATTTGTGTGAGGATTCAAATGTAGGGCAAGAGGCTGGGAGAGAGCTTCTTGGTACTGAAGACAGCAGGCGTAGAATTTGCACCAGAATTCCTGTTGTAAATTTCTAAATGCCTCCCGGGAGAATTCATACTCTGTTACACTTCCTTGGAGCTGGCAAAGTGGAAACAAAATTAAACTCTTGGTACCATTTGGGATCAAACAACATAATTGTCCAATGTGATTTTACTAGCTATAGCCAAAGGAATATTCTTTATACATTAAATGGCAAAGACTATACAACTGTACATCTAATTCTCTAATTATAAGGTTTAGACATGTATACTTTCTACTAAACAAGGTCAAGTGAACAATTCTGACAACTCCTCAGTGCCCTTCTTATATAAAGATGAAAAAAAATTTTTTTATTTACCGGAAATCTCACCTCACTTTCGACAGCTAATGTAACTTCTTTTTTTAGTTCACTCCACGAAAGATCCAAATTCCTCTCAGTTCCTCTGCAGAAAATCTAAAATTAATAGACATTTTAGAGTATTACACTCAAAAACAGATGAAAAATACTCCAGCACAAAGATACTGAAGCAATGTACAACTATATAATAAAGAAAAGGCATGCCTAGAATATTCTTTACATTTAACACCAGGCAAATAATTTCTGAAAGACATTATAGCAATTGTGAACTTGTTTCTAGAATAAACTAGAAAAATACATGAATCTGCCGGGCAAGATTTAATCCCAGTAACACAGGAGATTGAGTCAGGAGGATCACCAAGTTTGAGGTCAGCCTCAGCAACTTAGCAAGAACCCTGTCTCAAAATAAAAAGGGATAGGGATGTGGCTCAGTGGTTAAGCATCCCTGGGTTCAATCCCCAGTGCCAAAAAAAAAAAAAAAAAAAGACTGACACAAGGTGAGCTAGAATAGTGGGTGTAACTCTATAGGATTGATTTGATAAATGACTTAAAGATGGTTTAATGTCTCATTGTCTAAGAGATAACAAGAGAAGTGGTTGAGTTTTTAATATATGCAAAGCAAAAAAGAATAATTATTTATTATACAATATAGTAGTAATAAAATCATAAAGTTTATTAATGAAGAAGGAGTGCTAATGAGATGAAAGGAAAAACACCTGAGGAGAAAGTAACTGTGTCATCCTCAAGTTTTATCAGAGATAGAAGAAAACTCTTAGAAAAGTCAAGGGCCTGGAAATAGTATCACCTGAGCTAAAGTTAATATGTTGTGTTTAGTCTGAAGAAAGATGACATATCAAGGTTCTTTTTCTTTTTTCTTGGTACGGGTGATGGAACCCAGAGGTACTTTACCACTGGGCTACATCCTCAGTCCTTTTTATTTTTTATTTTGAGGCAGGATCTCATTAAGTTGCTGAGGATCTCTCTAGGTGGCTGAGACTGGCCTTGAACTGGAATCCTCCTGCTTTAGTCTTCTGAGTCACTGGAATTACAGGTGTGTATGCACGCATTCTATTGTTTCTTTTATTTATTTATTTATTTTAGTTCTCAGCGGACACAACACCTTCGTTGGTATGTGGTGCTGAGGATCGAACCCGAGCCGCACGCATGCCAGGCGAGCACGCTACCGATTGAGCCACATCCCCAGCCCCTCTATTGTTTCTTTTAAAAAAAATTTTTTTTTAGTTGTCGATGAACTTTTATTTTATTTATTTATATGTGGTGCTGAGAATTAAACCCAGTGCCTCACTCATGCTAGGCAAACGCTCTACCACTGAGCCACAACCCCTGACCCTCATTCTAAGTTTCAAAATAAAGAACCCACTAAAAGGATGGAAAACAAATTCAATCCAATTCTTGGAAGATCTTTTAGAAGACAGTTTGGGAATAATGACTCACATAAGAAACTTGTCAAGGGAGGAAGACAATCAGAGGCTTCTCAGAGAAGTCTCAGGCATTTATGCTTCAAGTAGAAAGTCAGAGTAGGACACTCTAAGGTTATCTTTCAATCCTATGAATGATTATTGTTTTTTTTTAATCCATAAAGTTAAACCTCAATTGAAGGAAGCTATGTAACTTTAAAGAATGCTTTTTAAAGCATTAAGTAGCTTTTTAATCTTGTGAGGCTGAAGTTAAAATTTTTTGAGTCTTTTTGAAATGAACCAAGTCACACCTTTTCTATAGTAACAAAAGGGTAACAACAGAGTATAATTGAAACTAACTAAAAACCACTTTGAATTTCTTTCAAGTATAGAGATTACATGCAGTGTAGGAGGTACCTTTTTACAATAGTGTGGGTCCAAGTATCTCTTTAGACCTCTGGTATGATTCACTAGTTTTTGGGAAAGTGCTTCCTACTCCCACCTCTCTGCTAGAAGTCTTATTTAATGGAAAGAACATTTTAAAAAAATTACAGTAGTATTTACAAAAAAATTTGAGTTTTTTTTTTTTTTTTATTTTTTTTTTATTTTTTTTATTTTTTTTTTTTAGAGAGAGAGAGAGAGAGAATTTTTAATGTTTTATTTTTTAGTTCTCAGCGGACACAACATCTTTGTTGGTATGTGGTGCTTAGGATCGAACCCGGGCCGCACGCATGCCAGACGAGCGCGCTACCGCTTGAGCCACATCCCCAGCCCAAAATTTGAGTTTTTAATATATGCAAAGCAAAAAGAATAATTATTAATTATACAATATAGTAGTAATAAAATCATGAAGTTTTAAGTGAACATTAAATACTTTCTTGCCAACCTGTAAAGCTTTACATAAAGCTGCATTTATGAATCGTCCTGGTGTAAAAAGACTCCGCAAATACATTTCCTGTTAGAACATTAAAAAAAAAAAAAAAAAATTAACATCATTTTGAAAAAGATAAAATGTAAAATGTTGTAGAATCCAAAACATTTACAGCAAAGTCTGAATTTCCAGTATACGAAATGGACATTTGGCCCTTCTCCCTGAAGGGCACTAAAGTGAAAATGACAACATTTTTGGGTCAAACATGGCATATTATACTGAAAACGGTGTGCCCTTGTATAGTTCTTCATTGGGTTTCATTGGAAAACAAGGCATGTCAAATGCCAATCTTAAATGAAAGAGGCAAATCCAATTTATTGGCGATATGCATTGGTAAGAGAACAATTAAACTAGGTTGATTTCTGCACCACCTATAAAAGTACTCTTTTTTATGGCTCACATATTAAAAAAACTATAATAATAGGCATTATATATAAATAAAACAAACTGTAAAAAGCTCACAGAAATGGGACAATGAAGTAGAGAGAATAAATGGAAAAATTTCATGTTGCTTGATATTTTGACTCAGTCTCATGAACCACATTTACTCAGAAGAGGTGAATCTGATTGACCTTCATTCGTTTCTTTCCTTCTACTGAGCTTCAGGTAGATAAAATGACCAAAATGAAGGAGAAAAATAAAGATAATAAAAATCAGCATGTGACTTTGACTTTCCGACAAAGTCAAATACTAGTAGTTAACTGGAATAATTAATAACTTTTTGGAATTAAAAATTTAGTGATGTTCAATTTCAGATAGTTAAAGTGGGTGTCTTCACTCCTACACAATAGTCATTGTTTCAGACTTAGGTCCAAAGGCTTTAATGACATTTTAACACTAAGGCAGCAACAAAAAGCTTTTTCCTTCATTTATCCTGGGGGTATCTTTGAAAAATGGGGAGACTCTTGTGTTCTTTATTGTTTTATCTTCTAAAATTATTATTTTCCTAGTGAACAGTTCTATCAGAATTTATCTTATTTCTAAATAAATGGTAAATATTTAAGGAGGTAGAAATGCTAATTACCCTAATGCTAATTATACATTATATAAACGTATCATTATCACAATGTCTTCTACAAATATGTAGAATTGATGTCAATTAAAAATACTCCAAATTAAAAGAAAAAATTATCTTGTTACATGCACATAAAATGACAGATGTAATAAACCTACCATTTGTGCCCATGCAGAATCCTTTCCCCTCAATTTATTAACAAATCTCTTTATCTTTTTTTTTTTTGGGGGGGGGGGAACCATTCCTCCCCTGCCCATACTCAACTGACCTCACCAGTCCTGCAATGGCAAAGCCCAGGCTGGACTTGTGTCCCATTGTAGGCCAGAACATCTAACTGCTTCTGATCATAGTGACTACATCAGGAAGTAGCACACAACTTAAGCTAGACCAGGGTTTCACCCCAAGAATATAGTCTGTAGAACTGAGACGTTGCTCTTTCCCCTGGGGCTGCTAGGTTCACAGAATGCAAGCCCACTCAGGAGGGAGCATACTTGAGAATATACCCAACCAGGAGGGAAGCAGAATAAAGAAGGGAGACCAAGGCTTGAAGGCACTGAAACCTGGTTGTTCTCAACTTTTGGCTGCACAAGTCAATCCTTTCTTTAGCTTTAGTCAGTTCAAGTCACCTGCAGCTGAAAGAGCTCTAATACAATTGGTTCTTAAAATAATAAGGATAAATCATTCCCTAACATTACACGTTAGTGTTACTTACCCTGGGGTCTTGATCATCTCTGATGACAATTTCTTCCTCTGGCAAAGGCTGCATAAAAACTGGATTCCACTGACCTGCAACATTACTACAGACAAAAATCCAAGTTTACACAAAAATAAATTTATGCTGTTGGCAACATCTGGGCAAGGAAGGCCTCATCAATGGAATCCCTGCAATCAACCATTCTGCCTGATCAATTCTATTAACAATAAGTATGTTTTGTCATAAAGAGGAGGAGGAGGAGGAGGAGGAGGAGGAGGAGCAGCAGCAGCAGCAGCAGCAGCAGCAGCAGGAGGAATTCTTAGCAGAATCTGGGTTTTAATTTTTTTTTCCTAAAAATACTTTTTAGTTGTTGGTGRACCTTTATTTAATTTATTTATTTATATGTGGTGCTGAGAATCAAACCCAGTACCTCACACACACTAGGCGAGTGCTACTGAGCCACAACCCCAACCCCTGAAAATGTGTTCTTAATTACTTTTAATAGGCACCTTCCTGAAATTAAAATTCTAAACACAAATCTACAAATAATAGCCAGCATTTGTTCTTTGCTAGATATTATGCTAGATGCAGTTCTAGATATTACTCACGTATGCTTTACGATCTCGTTCTCTTTTTGGTACTAAGGATTGAAGCCAAGGGCATTTTTATCACTGAGCTATTTGCCCACCCCTTTTTTATTTTGAGACAAGGTGTCACTAAGTTGCTGAGGCTGGCCTCCAACTGGGAGTCAAGATGTGCAATGCCTTATCACTGCTACTAAGTTGTACAATCAAGGTTCTAACTCTGTTCTGGCTCTATAGCCTGTGGTTTTTTTTTTTTTTTTTTTAAAGAATTTTTAATATTTATTTTTTAGTTCTCGGCAGACACAACATCTTTGTTGGTATGTGGTGCTGAGGATCGAACCCGGGTCGCACGCATACCAGGCGAGCGCGCTACCGCTTGAGCCACATCCCCATCCCTAGCCTGTGGTTTTTTACTACTCTGAATGCCATCTACAAGGACTACTCTCATGTTTTTGAGTGGTCAATCTGGGGGCAACTATTCCAAAATCAGTCTTGAGGGACCTAGAGCGTTCAATTAGTTCAGTGGTCTTCAAACTGTGTTCCAGGGAATCCTCTAAAGTGTATCAGGGGTTACATAAGTGTTTGCTTAAAAATTATTTTCTAAAATGTATTTATAATCACAATTTAATTTATAAAATTTTAAACTTATGTCACATACATTAAAAATATTAACTGTCAAATATAAAAACATTAAACATTAAAATATTAGATGCCAAATATATTTAATATTAGAGATTATTAATACTAAGTTATATTAATATTAACTTTATATTCATAAAATACCAGTTTTGCATTATATATTAGAATTCTTTTTTTCTGAGGAAAAAGTTTTTTTTTTTTTTTTTTTAAAGTTTGGGAAATACTCTACTTGTCCAATCTATTTCTCATCTCATGATGAGGAAATAGAGTGCACAAAGAACAACAAAGAAGTACTGGCCATAGCAAGGTTAGCTGGTGAGCCCTTGCTTTGAAGTACACTTCCTGATGAATTGGGCGTGGTGGTGCATACCTGTTAATCCCAGCTGCTCAGGAGGCTGCGGCAAGAAGCCTGCAAGTTCAAAGCCAGCCTCAGCAACTTAGTGAGGCTGTAGGTAACTTAGAAAGACTTTGTCTCAAAATAAAAAGTAGAAAGGGATGGGGATGTGGCTCAAAGATTAAGCACTCCTGGGTTAAATTCCCATACCCTCCAAAACAGAAAATTTCCAGATGAGAAGTATTTTGGGAATGTGTTCTCTCTTCTAAGAAATATGATATTTTATCTTAGTCCAACCCAAAGTATCCCTATTTTGTCCTAAAGCCAAAAGTAACAAAATGAAACAAAATGCAAAAGAAAGTATTTCAGAAAATAAGAACAACAGGCAAACCAAGGTCAGAATCCTTCAAATGTAGACTTAGTTCTACATAAACAGCTCTCTTGACCTAGCATGAAAGTACTTGTGGTGAGGAAGGATGACAGAGTTAAGGGACTCATACTGTTCAAAGTTGATGTATTTCACAATTGTTTGGTTCTCTACATCATGCCACAGGGCCCAGATATCCGTGGAGGTTAAGGCAAAGTCAATCAGTGTCTCCTAGAAAGAAATAGGAAGAAAATGGAAACAGGAAATAAGAAAGAAAAGGCAGTAGTTCATAACAACTTAAATTGGTACTGTTAAAGAGAGATAAATGCATTAAAAACAAAACATGGTACCCACTACATGAATTTGATAAATCCAAATCAAAATTTGTTTCTATACATCATAAAAATTTCCATTTTAAGATTACAATCCCATTGACACACAGTAGGGTCAATCAATATCTCTTCGTTTTGTTTTTTTAGTACCAGGGTCTTGCTAAGTTGCTTGGGGCCTTGCTAAATTGTGGAGGCTGGTCTTGAACTTGTAATCCTCTTGCCTCAGCCTCCTAAGTCACTGGGATTATAGATGTATGCCAGTGTGCCACTAAGCCTGGCATTTCTTTCTTTTTTTGGGGGGGGAAGATGAGGTCTTGTTATGCTGACCAAGCTGGTCTTGAACTCCTTGATTCAAGTGATCCTACAGCCTCAGCTCCTCAAGCAGCTGGGACTCAGGTATATACCACCTTGCCTGGCTATGCTTAAGTTAATACTTCTTTGTTGTACTTGGAAAATACGAAAAAGATGAATCAACCTACCTGAGAAGTGAATAATGAGGAAATGTGATCTAGACTATAGCGGTTATTCTCAGTGCTCACCAACTGGAAAATGCAGAACTGAAAAATACAAGTTGATAAAAAAATAATTAATATGCTACTTTTCTAAAGCAAAGGTTATCAGTGTTCAAACAATTTATAAAAAAAAAGTGGTTAAAATATATGTAACATAAAATTTACCATCTTAATATTTTTTTAATTTACTTTTTATTGTTTCTTTTTAATTATACATGACAACAGATTTTGACATAATTATAAAAGCATGCAATATAATCTGTTCTAATTCAGTCCCCAGTACTTCCCCTTTCCTTCCCTCTACTGATCTTTCTGCTACTTACTGATAAGTTTCTTTTCTTTTTTTTTTTTTTTAAATTAGTGTTTTATGGGGCTGGGGATGTGGCTTAAGTGGTAGCGTGCTCGCCTGGCATGTGTGAGGCACTGGGTTCGATTTTCAGCACCACATAAAAATAAAATAAAGATATTGTGTCCACCTAAAAAAAAAACCTAAAAAATAAATATAAAATAAATAAATAAATAAAAATAAATTAGTGTTTTGTGGATGTACATGATGGCGAGAGATTCACTGTGGAATATTCATATATGTCTTTCTCTATCCTATCCCTCCTCCCTTTTCTTCATTCCCCTTTGTCTATTCCATGGTTAACCTATTTTTTTTGTGGGTGTTTTTTGTGGTGCTGGGGATTGAACCTGGAATTTCACATATGCTAGGCAAGTGTTCAATGACTGAGCCATGTCCTTAGCCCACATCTTAACCATTTTTAAATGTATAGTTTAGTAGTGTCACATACATTCACACAGTTGTGCAACCAATCTCTGGAACTCTTCTCACCTTGAAGAAATGTAACTCTATACCCATTAAACAATAACCTCCCCATCCCTTCCATCCCTCAGCCCTCAGAAACCACCACTTTTTGATTGTATGAATACAACAACTTTTGCTACATCACAGTCATGTAGTATTTGTCTTAATGTCCTCAACATTGTAGCAAGTGGTGGATTTTCCTTCCTTTCAAAAGCTGTAACACTCCATAGTAGGTATACACCACATTTTGTTTATCCATTCATCCACTGACAGACATTTGGGTTGACTTTGCCTTTTGGTTATTGTGAATAATTTGTGCTGTGTCTATGGTTGAAAAATCTCTCTTTTAAGACCCTGCTTTCAATTCTTCTGTTTATGGGTTTGTTTTTTTTTTTTTTTTGAGTAACTACCACAGTTTTTCACAATGGCTGCAGTACTTCAATTAACACCAGCCTCTTACAGTGTTTCAGTTTCTCTGCATCCTTGCCAATACTTGTTATTCTGTTTCCTATAATAGCCATCCTAAATAAGTATGGTATCTTATTATGACCAGAAGCTTATTAAGTTTATATTATCAAAGTACCAGAAAGAATTTTAAATATGCAAATAACACAAAGCAAAACTAGTGAGTTAATCTTTATTAAAAATTAATCCTACTGAGCATGATCATGCATGTCTGTAATTCCAGTAGCTCAGGAGGCTGAGGAAGGAGGATAGCAAATTGAAAACCAGCCTCAGAACTCAGCGAGGCTCTAAGCAACTCAGCAAGACCTGTGTCCCTAAATAAAATATAAAAAATAACTGGGGATTTGTCTCAGTGGTTAAGCACCACTGGATTCAAACTCTGGTATGTATCAATCAATCAATCAATCAATAAAACAAAATCCTACGGCTTGAGGTGTGGCCATTCATGAAATCCTAGTTTTAATCCCTAGCCCCCTCAAAGAAAAAAATACTATGAAATAATTCATGTTTATTAGTTAACTTTGCTGCCAAAAAAAATTTCAAACTCAAAAATAATATTCAATGAGTAATTTTAGATACATATTTTTTACCGTGCACTAACAGTGATGATGACCCTTTCCTTTTAACATAGGCAACTGGTCATAAGAAAGTATTAAAAATAAACAAGAAAACTGCTTTTTGAGAAAAAAACATGAGTGTATGAAATATGGAAAATATACAGGTACAGCTCAGTGGTAGAAAGCATGCTTAGCATGCAAGAGATCCTGGATTCTATCCCTAGCACCAAACAACAAAAACAAAAACACAAATAAGCCAAACAATCAAAAAGCCCTAAATTATTAGAGTTCATTAGTTCATCAATTGTAGTGTCATAGTAATGGTAAATATGTTTCATGAAAATCTTTTCCTGCTATGTCTTGTTATGAATACATATATCAGGTAGCAGTGAAACCCTTTTTCCTTTCTTCTTCTTCTTCTTTTTTTTTTTTTGGTGGTACTTGGAGCTTGGACCCAGATGCACTCTAAAACTGAGCTACATTCTCAGCTCCTTTTTTCTTAATGAGACAGGGTCTCACTAAGTTGCCTAGGCTAGCCTTGAAGTTGTGGTCTTCCTGCTTCAGCCTCCAAAATATTTCTTATAGATTTTAGCCACACACACACACAAACACACAAAATGATGGAAAATGCTGACTCAGTGCAGTGCTTCTCAAACTTGAAAGAACTGTGGGAAAGAATGAGTCTGTTTTTTAATTTCTGAAGTTATAACTAACTTCAAGTATGAATGCCTGAAAAATTTCTAACCACATAAATTTCTAAATGCTGGGTGAGGTGGTGCACCTCTGTATTCCCTGCTACTCAAGAACCTGAGGTAGGAGGGCCCAAAAGTTCAAGGTCAGCCTCAGCAACATAGCAAGACCCTGTCTCAAAAAATAAAAAGGTCTGGGGGTATAACTGAGTGAGACAAAGTGCCCCTGGGTTCAATCCCCAGTACTGAAAAACACCCATTTTCTAAATACTTCCTCTCACTTCCTATACTTATTTCACTGCAAAAAGACAACAAAGAATTTGTGGCCCAGAACTGTTTCATGAACCACACCATAGTGCTGTTTATTACTGTCTTAGAAGACACAATGCTGGGAGGGACTAAATTAATTCTTATTATCAGAATCAGGATTCAAAGAAAAACAACCAGAAACAAATGAAATGAACGGGAATGGATGTAAAATAACAGATAAAAAAAATAAATACAAACTATGCAAATAAGAGAGGAAACAAACCACTGACTACCAGCTTTTGTGAAAAGGAAGAAGAAAGAAAAAAATTATAGCCATGCCTGAAATCCTAGTGACTGGGAGGCTGAAGCAGGAGGATCGAAAATTTGAAGCCAGCCTCAGCAACTAAGGGAGAAGCCTCACTAATTCTGAGGCTGTCTCAAAATAAAAAAATAGAACAGACTGGACATGTGACTCAGTGAAGTGCTTCAGGGTTCACCTCCAGTATCCACTCCCAAAATTGCAAATTTACTATAATCTGAATAGATTAGTTCTGTTATGTGGCTGCCAAAAAAGCTACTCTAATTTTAGGCTTCATTAACTTAAGAACTATACTGCTCAAAGTAAAAGAGGCAATGGCTCAGCTCTATTTGATATACTCCTGGAATACTACATTCAAATCTGAGTTTAACTCCATTAGAGCAGTGGTTCTCAAAATACGGTCCACAGGTTCCTAAGGGTGCCTGAGACCCTTCAGGGGGTTGGTGAAGTTAAACCCCTCTTCAAAATAATACTTCATTACTTGCCTTTTCACTGTGTCAGTATTTGCACTGATGATGCAAAAGCAATGGTGGGTACATTTACTGATTTCTTTTTTCTCTTTCACAGTACTGGGGATTGAATTAAGGGCTTTGGGTACACCAGGCAAGTGCTCTACCACTGAACTAGGCTCCCAGCCCAAATTACTGGTTTCTTAACATGAATCAAAGTTGTGGCACCAGACTGAACCTCCTGGCATGATAAAAACACTATCAACAGGAATGGTAAAGGGCATTTATGAAAAGTTCATAGTTAACGTAACAAATTTTACACCTTAGCAATAAAAATCAGGACTAAGACAAACATACCAGCTCTTACCACTTTTTTCAACATTGTACTGGAGTATTTAGCCAGAGTATTTAGACAAAACCAAAACAAAATAGAAAGACAAGAAAAAAAGGAAAAAAAAAAAAAGGAAATAAAAGGCATCCATATTGTAAAGGAAATAAAGTAGTGAAACTTTCTTTATTTGCAAGTGACATTACCTAATATATAGAAAATTCCACCATAAATCTTTCAGAACTAATAAATGAATTCAGTAAGGTTGCAGGATACAGGGATTGGGATTGTGGCTCAGCAGTAGAGCGCTTGCCTAGCATGCATCAGGCATGGGTTCAATCCTCAACATCACATAAAAATAAATAMATAAAATAAAGGTATTGTGTCCATTTACGACTGAAAAAAAAAAAAGGTTGCAGGATACAATATCAATATTCAAAAATGTTATATTTCTAAAAACTTCCAAAGAGCAGCCTGAAAATGAAATTAACAATTTCATTTACAGCAGCATCAAAAAGTATAAAATACATGGTCAAAAGATACCTAAAATTTACATTCTGAAAATTTAGAACATTATAAAAAGAAACTAAAGAAGACTTAGACAAATGGAAAAACATCCCATGCTCATGATATCAGAAAACAGTATTGCTAGGATGACAAAATCTTCAATCTCCTACAGAGCCAACACAAGCCCTATCAGAATTTCAGCTGACATTTTTGTAGAAAGTGACAAGCTAATTCTAAAACTCATGTGGAATCGAAAGGAACTCATAAACAGCCAAACCACCTTGAAAAAGAAGAACAATGTAGAACCCAAGACTTTCTGATGCCAAAACTGACTACAAAATAGCAACAGTAATCAAGACAGTAGGTTCTGGCACAAAGACAAATAGATCAATGGACTAGAATCAAGTCTAAGAATAAAACCTTATGTCTTGGATTAAGCAATTTTGACAACAGTGCCAAGACCATTTGATGGGAAAAGGATKGACCATCTTTTCAAATGAATGGTGATGGGAAAACTGGATATCCACATGCAAAACAATTGAATGCATGCAACTGGATCCTTACCTCACACACACAACACATACACACATGCACACATATGTGTATGTGTGTGTTTGTATGTATATATGTATATATATATATATATATATATATATATGTATAAAACACAAATGGATAAAAATCATAAATGTAAAAGCTAAAACTATAAAACGCTAAGAGGAAAACAGGAGTAAATCTTTATGACCTTGGATTTGGCAAAGACCTCTTAAGGTATGACACTAAGAGCACAAGCAATAACAAAAAAATACTTTGGACCTCATTGAAGTTAAAAACTTGTGCTTCAAAGAATACCATCAAGAAAGTAAATAAGAGGGGCTTGGATTGTGGTAGAGCGCTCGCCTAGCACAGGCGGGACCCAGGTTCGATCCTCAGCACCAAATAAAAATAAAGGCATTGTATTGTGTCCATCTACACCTCAAAAATAAATATTAAAAAAAAAAAAAAGAAAATAAAAAGAGGAGCTGGGGGTGTGTAGCAAGGTCCTGGGTTCAATCCCAACCCCCAAATCAATATCACTATTTAATAAATGGGCAAATGCTCTGATAGACATGTTTCCAAGGAAGATATATAAATAATAGCACTTGAAGACGCTTAGAAATGCAAAAAACCACAAGGAGATGACACTTCATACCCACCAGGATGGACGGATTGAAAAACCCAGATAATAGTGTTGATGAGAATATGAAGAAATCAGAACCCTCATACACTACCTGTGACAATGTAAAATGGTACAGCCACTTTGGAAAACATTCTGGTTGTTCCTCAGAAAATTAAACATAGAGTTACATAAGATCCAGCAATTGAGCCAGGTATGGTGGCACACACTTGGAATATCAGCTTCTCAGGAGGCTGAGACAGAAAGATTACAAGTTTGAGGCCAGCCTTGCCAACTTAGGGACACCATGTTTCAAAATATAAAATAAAAAGGGCTGGGATATTGTTTTGTGGTTGAGTGACCCTTGGGTTCAATACCCAGTATTACAAAGAAAAAAAAAAAAGTCCAGCAATTCCACTATTCCTGGGTATATATCAAAAAGAAATGAAAACATACATCTATATAAACACTTATCAAACACGTTTATAGCAGCATTGTTCATAAAGCCAAAAGGCAGAAACAACACAAAAGTCCATCAACTGACAGATTTTTTTTTATGTGACATATTCACATGATTAAGAATGATTCACACCCTAACCCTTCAGGCTTCAACATCAGAAAACAATTTTAAGAATGAGGACATCCTCTTTCCTTTCATTTTGTTCCTCCACAATCAGTCTTAAAACCATTAGGTGCCCAGAGTAGAGTAGGTGTTCTTGCTGGCCCAGGGGTGATGTGGAGTGGAGGGGTTTGGCATGGGGAGTCAGTCTAAAGAGGTTGAAAGGAACACCTATGCAGGCATGTCCCAGCACAGGGAGTGCGGATACCAGCAAGCGAAGGGCAGGCATGCAGAGGGCGATATGGCCTGGTGTGATGAATTAAGAGCCTAAGGAATGACTGGAGATGTAGCTCATCAATAAAGCACTTGTCTAGCATGCATGAGGTCCTGGGTTCAATCCTCAGCATCAAAAAACAAAAACCAAAAAAAAAAAAACAAAATACACATAACAACAAAGAACAAAACAACAACAAACAAAACAACAACAACAACAAAAAACCCCCACAAAACCCATATACCTAAAGAAGTAACAGGCATCTACATTTGGGACTGGCTTGGCTTGGGTCAGAGCAGCAGGAGTAGGGTGAGATGGCTTCTACTATATGCTGGGAAAGTCTGATGCAGGGTGGAAAGTAGGGTAGAGTAGTGAGGGTGTCCTCTGCACAAGAGTGGCACAGTAGCATCAAAGGGTCTGAGCCCAAATAGGACTGAGGAGACACTTGGCAGGACAGTGACCTAGTATGGGGAAATAAAGCTCCAGCAGCAAGGAAGGCAAACCCTAACTCATTGGAATATTATTAGGAATAAATGGATAACACACACAGTGAGTGAGCCCACAGTAAGCTCAGTCTGAGTGTTTGCTTTTATTAATGTATGAACATCCAGGGCCTGGCACGGTGCCAAACACACAATACCCAACAAACAGCTGCTTATTTATTTTATACTATTGCTTTACATCCTGCATACAACAATTGGCATCTGGTTGATGAGCAAAATTATTTTTAAAAGTTAACTTTCCCAAAACTACTTGATAATACTAAACTTCCTTATTAGTAATTGCATTCTCTTTTTTACCCATACTTCCAAATGTGAGCTTTCTTGTTTAGTTTTGGTTAACTTTCCTTTCCTATTCCTTTAAACTCTACTTCCTTTCATTCTGACCCTTCAAGATCTTCTAAATCACACAATAACCCCCAAACCACCATTACCTCAATTTAACACTTGAAACATCTAGGTTGGTACAATGAGCCCAGTTACTCTCCATATCAGTACATGCAGAATAACTTGATACATATCTTATTTGTTCCATACCTGTCCTCGTTTTGGAGCATGCATGTATATTCCTAGGTAGAGTCCCATGGAAGGGGAATAAGCAAGTCGCAATTTGTGCCCAGTTCCAGCAGTGAGCCGAAGGTCTTTGTTCACAGGGACATACTCCAGCATGTCAGCTATCATCAGACACATTTGGTCCTGCCCAAGGTAAGAGTTAATAGACCACATTCAAAGAATATACAGGCTAGAAAAACACATTCTATAAAACATTTTTTTGGTACTGCCGATCTAACCCAGGATCGTGTACATGAGCGCTTTACTTTTGAGAGAGGGTTTCACTAACTGCCCAGGCTGGCTTCGAATTTGCAATCCTCCTTCCTCAGCCCCCCAGGTACCTGGGATTATAAGTGTGCACCATCATGCTGAGCTGTAGATTTTTTGTTTTTAATGAGTTAAGATAAAATGTACCTCTTCAGCCTGATAGATAAAATCACTAGCTGTTTGTTTTGTTTTGGTAAATCTTAAAAATTATTTTATCAATATGCATTTTTAAAACACTTTTGTTGCTCTTAAGTGAAGGGTATATTTTGTATTACTCTTTCAACTTTCTTGTAGGGTTCATAATTTTCAAAATTAAAAGACAAAGAAAAAAGGGAGGCAAATGTACAGAAAGCAAAGCTAAATGAATTGTCTGAATCTGGAAATGACCATAATTTCCAAGCCAAATGATCTTCTCTCAAAATTCACAATCCCATTTTAACTAACTGTAATTATAAGTGTTGAATTTACCTTATAAGACCACATTCGTAGTTTGTGGTCCTGACACAGGGCAAAGATGAAGGCATCGTGCTCCACACAATGAACAGCAAGACTGAGTGCACGGTCTGAAGGCCCCTGATCACCCCTAAAAACACGAGGCCCAATTTTAGAATTTTATTGTTGTAAATAATCTGATCATTAGAATCTGCAATTCAGGAGATATAATAAAATTATAAACACATGCTCTCAGCAGAAGGAGAAAGACAACTGAAATAAGACAACTACACTTTTCTTTGGCTTACACCAATCACTATAGTAAATTTTAAAAGGTTCTACATAACAAATAAAAACTTTACCTTTTATATTGTTTCAGTTTATATTGTTTCCTTTATAAAGTTTCAAAAACTTTCTACTTCAGCAATTTTACACAAAATTGGTTTTGGTTAAATTAGGGCAGAGCACCAAACCGAATATTGTAGGAATATAAACAGCCAGTTTCTGCTGTCAAAGTCCAATCACAGATAAAACAGACACTGCAGTCTGATTTTTCTTCAGACAGAATGTGCTGGTATGTAGACTCTTCTCTCCAGTGCAGTGTGTGCCTTGGAATAAGACTATAAACACAAGGAGGTGCTGACCAGTGCAAAAAGATTATATCCCCAGGCCCTCTGATTTACCTGCCAGACACCACTTACCTGATAGCTGTTGGCATCCACCCTGTGAGCAATCGCTGCATCACTGAACTCTGTTTCAGTTCCACAATGGACACTATACCTGCAATAACAGCCAAAGCAACTCTTGATCATACTTAAGAGAAACCCAAAGGCAAGATGACATAACAAAACAAGGCTTTATAATAGGTGACAGGCTTCTACATTTTTGTATTGACAGTTTTAGGATGCACCTTTTCTACATGTCACCCTAAAATATAATAAATTATTACTGCATCAAAAAAATAGATATTGGGCTGGGGCTCTAGCTCAGTAATTGTAGAGCACTTGTCTAGCACAGGTGAAGCACTGGGTTTGACCCTCGTACCACATAAAAATAAAATAAATGTTCACTTACTATAAAAATATTTTAAAAAATAGATATGAATTCCCAAAATGTTTTGTTAATTTTTGCTTACGTGCCCCACTGCTGTCACTCTAACTTCACCTTTAGGAACATGTTGCCATTTACAGACAGTAACCTTTGCTACCACTCAGCAGAATCATTTCACTGTTGCTAAAACAAAGTGCCCTTCACGTGCTGGGTAGTTCTAGGTGCTAGGGACAGCAGCAAACAAAATAAACTACTCATGGAATTTACATTTCATTGGGGGGAGTTAAATTAAGAAGAGTGGTAACAAGTACAGAAAAAAAAAATAAGAAAAGAGTATAGAAGACTGCTGGTGAGTTTCTGGGGAGGAGAGTTTGAATGTTAAAAAGTAGTGAGGGAAGGCCTCACTGAGGTGACACTGAACTGGTAGCTGGCTATCCCAGGCAAATGCCCCAAGTACATCTGAGTGTTTTAAGGAGTTGTAAGAAAGCATGTGGCTACTGGAGAGATGAAGGGAAAGCACAAAAAGACAAGGTCAGAGTGGCAGCAGCAGAGTGCTGTAAGTTAATCTAAGGACTCAATTTATTCAGAGTGGAGATAAACACCCTCATTGGACAGCTCTGAGCAGTCCAGTGACATGTATCAACTAATGTTTTAAATGCATCAGTCTGCCTGAGAAACTCCTGAAGAGAGATAAAGAAATCTGTTGAAACATTTAGGAAGCTAATTCAACACTCCAGGAAGAGATAGTGGTGCCTTGGATATCAGTAGATAACCTTTATTCCATTAATTATAAATTCTCAATCTGAGGGTGGACAACTAGTCAACTCTTTTCTACTAGAGGACTTAGAATAGGCTGTCTTATATTTATGTTTTCTATAATCCAATGTTTTATTGTTCCTCACCCACTGTCCAAAACCCCTTGGGTAAAAGTAAAGCATCAGGAACTCATTAGGTAAACAATGAACAACCAATGCAGGAGCAGTATAGAAGCAATTCTTGTGTTGATGGTGGTGTCAAACTTTTAGAAGGCCTGTTTTTTGCACCCGTGGGTACTAGGAATTGAATCCACGGTACTCAGGATGTAGCTATACCATGGAGGTATATCCCTATCCCCTTTTAAAAACTTCTGGGATAGGATCTTGCTAAGTTGTAAGGCTGACCTCAAACTTGTGATCCTCCTGCCTAAGCCTGCCTTCTGAGTCACTGGGATTACAGGTGTGTACTCTCATGAGTAGCCAAAGGTCTGTTTTCATGACAATATCTCTTTTTTCTTTCTTTTTGTTATAGTATTGAGGATTGAACCCAGGGCCTCATGAATGTAAACACTCTACAAATGAGCTTACTCAGACCCAGTATTTCTTTCTTTTTTGTTTCGTAGTGCTGAGGATTGAACCCAGGTCCTTATGTATGACAGGCAGACACTCTACCATTAAGCTATATCCCCAGCCTCCCCAATATTTCTTGATTAAAGTTGAATCCATGCTCAATTCCCATTCTTACCAGAAATGTCATGAGGAGGTAGTTTAAGAACAAAGATGCCCCCAGAAGCAGATGGGAGAGCAAACAGCGCCTCCCCATCACTGCTAAGCCAGGCTGCTGAGGTGGTAGAATTAGGGCATAGTCCAGGTACTGTTGGAATTAACTGATAGTTGCAAGGATCCCTGAAATCAACTTTTCCAATGTCAGTGAATATTGACTGCATCTGACTTTCGATTACCAACTCCTATGAGTAATGAAAAAGAAAAATCTTTTAAAGTCACAATAACTTTGAATTTTGCTTAGTTTCTCTCAATTACTTAAAAAAAAAAAAAAAACTTTTAAAATAAAAAAATTAAGATTCAGAAGAAAGTAAATTTTTTTTTTTTCATGTCAGGGATTGAATCCAGAGATGCTTAACCACTGGGCTGCATCATCTTTTCAATTTTTTGTTTTTTAATTTTGAGACAGGGTTGCTCAGTTGCTTAGGAACTAACTAAATTGCTAAAGCTAGCTTTGCATTTGCGATCCTTCTGCCTCAGTCTCCTGAGCTGCTGTGATTACAGGAGTGCCCATCATGCCCATAGCAAAAAACTTTCTTTTTAAAGAATGCTATTTTGTGAACTTAAAATGTGTATCTGATTATCTAAAATTGTAACTACCAAAGTATCCTTGTTGAGGACTAACAACAAATCCAAATTTCCCCAATTCCAAAAAATATTGTTCCTGGACTTAATTTTTGAGAACTAGAATAATTTGAGAAATAAGATACTATAATTAACCAACTTACATTCCTATACATCCGGGAAGGGTGTGGTAAAAGTAATCTGTGCACTGTTTGATTGGTTAATATTAAGATTATCACATGATTCTGGGTCTCTGAGACATAAACCCCTCCAGGTAAGATGTTACAATTCTGGAATTTTAGGCGAACTGCATTATTCAACAGATTTAGGTCCAGTGACTCCTCCACCAGCTCCAATATATCTGCGGAGATCTTCCTGTGGGGGGAAAAAAAAGACATTAAAAAAAAAAGTTTATGCTTTTCTCAACAACTGCTGCACTGAAACACACACACACATACACACACACCCACACCAAAGTGAATGCTTCAAATTTGGAAATTTTGGATAAAATTCAGACCACTTACCAGGCATGGTGGCACATACCTGTAATCCCAGCAATGTGGGAGACTGAGGCAGGAAGATTGCCAAGTTCAAGGCCAACCTGAGCAACTTAGGCCCTAAAGCCAACTGATCCTGGATTGGAATCTCTAAAATTGTGAGCCATATTAAACCATTTATAAGTTGATATTCTCAAGCCCATACAGTGATAGAAAACTAAAACTTGTGATTTGTTAAATCTTACTGCTTTCCTCCTCCTGACATTGTTCCTTCTCTTCCATTTCTACAAACTGGTCACCCTTGTGAAACTATAGCTATACCTTCAATCCATGTACTCTGCATCTGCAGACTCAACCAACTAACTACTGAAAATTTTTCTTTTTTGGTGGGGGGGTGAAGAGGACTGCATCTGTACTGAATACGCACAGCCCTTCTTCCCTAAGCAATGCAGTGTAACAGTTATTATATAGCATTTTTATTTTATTGGGTATCATGAGTGATCCAGAGATGATCTAGAGAGGTTATACATAAATTATATGTATACTTGCAAATACTCTGCCATTTTATATGAGGGATGAAAGTAAGCATCTGCAGATTTTGGCATCCACAGAGTTCCTGGAACCAATTCCCCAAGTACAGATGGTCAAATGTCCTGTAGCTTTATCCTTGGTACCTTCTTCTCAGCAGCATCAGTGACTGTTAAAGGCTTCTCTATCTCTTGCAATGGCCACATCTATCTCAGAATAATGAAATGGACCCTTTCCTGAAGCAAAAATGTCTCCATTGTCCTACAGTTACCATTTGATTTCTCTGCTTCCCTTAGAGCAAAACTCCTTGAAAGAGCTGTCCTATACCCACTCACTTAAGCCTCTATTATTGGAGCAGATCCTGACAAGGTCACCAAAAACTTCCATAATGCAAAGGTCAATTTTCGTTTCTCTCGTTACCTGAATTATATAGCATCTGACAACTTTTTACTCTCCTCCTTTTTGAAATATTTCCTTTAGCTTCTGGGACATTACTCTCTCTGATTTTTATTTTTGGTACTAGAGATTGAACCCAGTGACACTTTACCACAGAGCTACACCCCCAAGTCCTTTTTATTTTGAGACAGGGTCTCACTAAGTTGCTAAGGTTGGCCTCAAACTTGCGATTCTCCTGCTTCAGCCCACTTCACTCTGACTCTCACCTTGGCAGCTACTCTCTTTCACAGGTTCCTGATCATCCTAACTGTTGGAATGCCATAGATTCAGTCCTCAGCTCATTTCTACACAAGTATTCTCAACTAGGGTTGATTCTACCGAATTCCCAAGGATTTAGCATTACCTAGAGAGATGTTTGTTACAACTAGGGAGGTAAGATGGGGGTGGGGGTTGGACATGTTATTGGTTTGTAGTAGATAAAGGCCAGGATAATGCTCAACACCCTATACCCGACAACAATTACTTATCTGGCTTCAAATGTCAATAGTTCAGAAGCCTGATTTATTCACTCTTTAGGTGAGCACGCTCATTATAAAGCTCTAAGTGCCATCTAATGACAACAATTTCCAAATCTGTATCTTTACTTCAAACCCTCTATGAAATTACTGACTATTGCTTCAATACTTTCTCTTGGCTACCTACTAGGCATTGTAAATTAAACCTGTCCAAAAGAGGATTCCCAGGCTCAACAAATTAGGGGTAAAATAAAAAATAAAACCCACTTGTTGCATTTTATCTACACTCTTTTTCAACTCAATTAGAAGTATCTCTAAAATTTCCAGATGCTCTAGCCAAAAATCTGGGGTACACGCTGTATAGGATGCAAAATGAATTCTAATAGGGCTGGGGTTGTGGTTCAGAGGTAGAGAGCACGCCTAGCATGCGTGAGGCACTAGGTTCGATCCTCAGCACCACATTAAAAATAAAATAAAATAAAATAAAGATATTGTGTCAACCTACAACTAAAAAAATAAATGTTTAAAAAAATGAATTCTAACAAATTCACCTTGAAAACATATTCACAATCAGAACATTACTCACAGACTACCACCACCATCTGAGCGATCATCAACTCTTATCTGGATTGTGTCTTCCCACTCCCACCTTTCCCCCTTTCCTACTCTCTTTTGAGCACAGTAACTGYAGCAATACTTTAAATCATGACATTCATCCATTTAAAACACTCCAGTGGCTACCTCTTATCTCAGAGACAAAGACTTAAATAACCAACTAAGCCTTGATCTGGTCTGTGGCTATCTCTTTCTTATTATTAACCCTTTGTTCATGCAGCTGCAGACTCTTGGTCTCTTATTCTTTTTTGAGACAAGGTCTGATCTCAGTAAGTTAGTAGGGCCTTGCTAAGTTGCTAGGGCTGGCTTTGAATTTGTGATCCTCCTGCCTTAGCATTCGAAGTTGCTGGGATTATAGGTGTGCACCACGGCACCTGGCTAGACTGATCATTTTTTAAGTATAAAAATCCAAAATTCTTAAAAGTGGCCTCAGTGTTCCTCACAGTCTGAGTCCTGCCTCTCTCTCTTCAGCCTTGGCATTCTCACATCACTTTATTTTACCAAAGCACTTATGCCACACAGACTTTTGGTCAGTTGCTCAAATCCGCCAAGTTCTTTCCACTTTAAGGCTTTTGCATAGAGTGATCATGCTTGCTGAACTGCTCTTTCCCACTCCCTGGAAGTGCCTGGCTAACTTTTCATCCTTCAAATCTCATTTTAAATATGACTTTCTACATCCTTCCCTGCACTGCCAATGTTCAGTGTTCCCACTGGCCTCTCACAGCCATTACACTTTTCCCCTAGAGCAAGTATGAAAATATGCATTTACTTATCTATGTTGAGGTCATTTGTTTAATGTCTTTTTTCTTTCATGAAATTGTGGCACACAAAGTGAGTCTACACGTATTCTTCCACAAGTACGACATATTGCATGATGAAAATAATAGTTTTTATTCATCATTTCATCCCAGTACCTAGCACAATGCCTCATATGTAAAAAGCTCAACCGCACATCAGCAGAATGAAGCTATAAAGACCATAAAAACATAATAGACTCGTGATTATAAAATTGSTCTTCAGGGCTTTAGCCCTTAAGCTATATTCCCTGTTTTTACCACTGTCAGGCAGGTGTCTCTCTTAGAACTCTGTATGTCAAATTTTCCCGATTCTAACATGAACAGAAAACAGTCTTTCTCTTTTCCTAAGTGTCGATTACTACTCGACAGGAATGCCGCTTCGGGAACTGTGGCGATTATCCGTACACCAGACAATTCTACCTTCCAGTGGGGTTTGGAGAACACAGCACTTACCAATGAATGAATCTGTTTCTGGTGACGGACAACAACTTGCCGCTTTCCACATAGAAAAAGCCCCCTGCACTCTCACTGTATTTAACCGTTCCAGCCACGGGATTTGTAGTCCCTGCAAAATGAACCTGGTCAGCCTGTACACGTGGTACGAAGGATGACAAATACTGAGGAAGCTGAGGAAGCAGAGTGTGACGAACTGACAATCCATACAAAGGGAAGGGGAAAGGAGGGAGAAGTCAGACGCCAAGGAAGCTCTGATCCAGAGGCTGTGGGCATGTGCACCTAAAATGATGAACCGGGAGAGGGTCACCGATCTGGGGACCCATTGGAGGAGAACGAGGGGAAGGATCGGATCGCGCCCTCCCTGGCCACCTCCGTACCAACGCCGCAGACTGTGAATTCTCGAAAGCGCCTTGGCCTTTCGCGCTCGGTCCCGCTTAGCTCCACGAAGCTCCGTTCCAGGGATCCCGCCGCCGCCATCTTCCCGCCGCCGCCGCGAGGCCCGACGGGACACGGGCRGGCCGCGCAGTCGTCGTCACTTCCGGGGGCGGGGCGAGCGGAGCGGCAGACAGGTGCTGCGACCTGAAGCCGGGAAGGCGGGTCTCTGGATTCTTTGTGGGTCTTTCACCGGAGAGTGAGGGTGGGCGCTGAGGAAGCCGCCTCTTCCCGCTGGACCTCCGAGCGCCGGGCTGGGAGGCGTGCAGAGGACGCCTCAAGGCAGGGCGGGGCAGGGCTTGTTTCCATTTTAAAAATCCGACCTGGGCGGGCGGCTGGGCTGAACCGACCCGAAGGACCACCTCCGGGGAGCCCGGGCCTCTCGGTTACTCTGGGAGAACCCGAGTTTGCGCTCGCCTCTCCGCCGTTAGGTGTCCATCTGCAAATCTCCGCCCGGTGTCTTTATCTTTACCCTTCAGCGACACGTGTGGTGGTGGAAGGAGAGAAGGACTTTTTGATTTCTGTTGGATTTTTCCCGAAAGGAATTTGTAGTGTAGTGAAAATTAACGCGTTCAGTTTGACATGGATGCTGCAGCCTGCTGAGGTTACCTAAATGATGCTAGCTTGCAAATGTGAAAAGTATTTGCCTTTCGTTTCCCCGCTTGGTTTTTGAAGGAGTAGAACGTGCTCGATATTGAGGAAAATACTAATTTCCTCTTTCCCCCCTTTCCTTAATGATGGCCAATTTTAAGCACTTGTGTAACCTTATTACCAGTGACGGCAACTAGCTGTTACCATTCTCATTCATCCTATTCTGACCATCATTCCACCTCACTTGCTGAAGACACCAACTCCAGCAAAGCATTCCCCTCATTCCCCCTGCAATCCTTTGTTCTACCACCTTGCCACAATCTCTAGCTTCCTTGGTGTTTCCTTCTTGTCCTACTTAACTTCCATTAAATTACTTCTTTGCCTAACTCTCATCGTATTCCATTAAAAACTACAATTTCGATTCAATCCAAATCTGTAGTTGAACATGGATGTATACATCCTACTAACATGCCTCTCCCTTCATCAGGACTGAGTCTCAATGGGGTCCTTGATGCTTCCCAGAAAAYGCTTTCTATTTTCCTTGTCCATTTATTGCCTTAGATGAGTATTTCATAACTCCTCTAACTGCCAACACTTCCTCTTTCATCCTTGCTCTCAGCTTGCTTCTTCATTTAGAAAATTAAAGCTATCAAAAGAGATCTACCACTTCTCCCCAGTACCAATATCTGTACCCATACACTTTGCCTTCCTTTCCTGTTGCTATATAGAGAATTGAGTCCCAGTTTTATGGAGAGGCAACCTTTCTAATTCTTTCTTAGATCACCTCACCCGCTGAAGAACGTTGCCCTAGCAATTCTCTTGGCCGTCTACATCTTCCATATCTCCCAAGTTGTTTCTCTAAGTATATAAACATGCCATTATTTTTCCATTTCAAACAAGCCCTCAATTGGCCTCCATTCTCTTCTTGTATCCCATATTTCTGCTCCTCATTACTCAACAAAATTTAAGATCACTTTTCTCTCATTCTCAGTTAAACCTGCTTTTATCAGGTTTTGGCTCCTTGTGCCCTACTGCAACTGCTTTTTTCAAGATTACCAAACATATCATGTTACTATATCTAAGACCAAATTAATTCTCTTTGTTTGTGTGTGTGTTGCATTTGTGCATTGAACAAACCTACCAGGGCTTCTTGCATGCTAAGCAAGCACTTTACCATTGAGTTACATCCCCAGTCTCATTTTAAAATGTTTTGTTTTGAGACAGGGTCTCCGTAAGTTGCCCAGGTTGGCTTTGAACTTTTATTTTTTATTTATTTTTATTTTTTATTTGTATATGACAGCAGAATGCATTATAATTCTTATTACATATATAGAGCACAATTTTTCATATCCCTGGGTATATACATAGTACATTCACACCAATTCGTGTCTTCATACATGTGCTTTGTATAATAATGATCATCGAATTCCACCATCATTAATTACACCATGCCCCCTCCCTCCTTTCACTCCAATCCTTCTGCCGAATCTAGAGTTCATCTATTCCTCCCATGCTCCCGCTCTCTATCCCACTATGAATCAGCCTCCTTATATTAATTAAAACATTCAGCATTTGTTTTTGGGGATTGGCTAACTTCACTTAGCATTATCTTCACTAACTCCATCCATTTACCTGCAAATGCCATGATTTTATTCTCTTTTATTGCTGAGTAATGTTTCATTGTGTATATATGCCACTTTTTTTTTTGTCCATTCATCTATTGAGGGGCATCTAGGTTGGTTCCACAGTTTAGCTATTGTGAATTGTGCTATTATAAACATTGATGTGGCTGTGTCCCTGTAGTATACTGTTTTTAAGTCCTTTGGGTATAGACTGAGGAGAGGGATAGGTGGGTCAAATGGTGGTTCCAGTCCCTGTTCTCCAAGAAATCTCCGTACTGCTTTCCATATTAGCTGCACCAGTTTGCAGTCCCACCAGCAGTGTAGTGTACATTTTTCCCCCATCCTTGCCAACACTTATTATTGTTTGTATGCATAACAGTGGCTCTGAACTTTTTGATCTTCCTGCTTTAACCTTTCGAGTAGCTGGGATTACAGACATTATAGACATGCAACAGGAGCTCTGACTCTGGGAATACTTTCTTCATGTGGCTTCTGTACTCTCCTAACTTTTGTCTATTTCACTGACTTTCTTTTTTTTTTTTTTTTAAAGAGAGAGAGAGAGAGAGAGAGAATTTTTTAATATTTATTTTTTAGTTTTTGGCGGACACAACATCTTTGTTTGTATGTGGTGCTGAGGATCGAACCTGGGCCTCACGCATGCCAGGCGAGCGCGCTACCGCTTGAGCCATATCCCCAGCCCCTCACTGACTTTCTTTTTAGACTCCTTTCCCAGTTGCTTCTTTTTTCCCTTCCTTGATGTTGGGGTGTCCCAGAGTTCCGTTTTTGGTCTTTTCTGTCTACGTAGCCCCTTGGGGACTCATCTAGTCTTCTGGTTTTAAATGACAGATTGCCATATGCTGATAATTCCCAAATGTATGTTTCCAGTCCAAACCTTTCCTCCGAATTCTACATTTATATATCCAACTGCCTATTCTATATCTTAGATTTAACTAAGACTGAAGTTCTGGTATATACAAAGCTGAAGTCCTAATGTCTTCTCCAACACTTATTCCTAACTTATTCCTCCTATCTCAGTTACCAACATCTTTCCAATTGCTCAAGCCAAAATCCTTAGAGTCATCTTTGAATCTTATTTTTATCTTATCTAATATCCAGTCAGTCAAAAAATTATATTGAGGGCTGGGGATGTGGCTCAAGCGGTAGTGCGCTCGCCTGGCATGCGTGCGGCCCGGGTTCGATCCTCAGCACCACATACCAACAAAGATGTTGTGTCCGCCGAGAACTAAAAAAAAAAATAAATATTAAAAAAAAAAAAAATTATATTGACTCTGCCTGTGAAATATAGCTAAAATCTAGTTAGGCTTTGTGGCACATGCCTGTAGTCCCTGCTACGTGGGAGGTTGAGGCCAGCCTGGTAACTCAGAGAGACTCTATCTCAAAAAACGAAAAGATTTGGGATATAGTGGTAGAGGGCCCCTGAATTCAATTCCTAGTACCAAAAAACTAAACAAAGAAAAACCAAAAAACTAAAACCCAGCCATTTTTTACCTTCTCACCTGCCATCATCTTGGTCCAAACTGCCACACTCTCATCTGGATTATTTTAACAGCATCCCAAATTGCCTCCCTGCTTTCTATTCCTCATCTCTTACTTCTCTACTAGACTCCATGCTCGAAGAATCATGCCTGACTCATAGGAGGCTTTCAGCAAATATGAATGAATGAATAAATGAATGAGGAGTAGTCCAGGCAAGAATTGATGAGACCCTGAGTGGAATGCAGAAGAAGGAATTCGGTTTTTTATTTTTTTTTAATATTTATTTTTTAGTTGTAGTTGGACACAATATACTTACTTTATTTATTTGTATGTGGTGCTGAGGATYGAACCCAGGGCCTTGCACACGTGAGGCAAGTGCTCTACTGCTGAGCCACAACCTCAGCCCCAGGTTTTTTCTTTTTTTATTATTGAAAATTTTGTTATTTATTTGACAGATTACTTCTGAATTAATACAAAAATGATAATAACTTGTATATTCATTTATTCAAAACATTTTCATTAAGCACCAAGTAGAACAGTTTCCAATCTTTTCACCAAAAACACTTTTATCATTGAAAGACTTCCTCAAACTTAGTTTATTTGGGAGGGGGAGGTACCAGGGATTGAACTCAGGGGCACTCGACCACTGAAACACATCCCCAGCCCTATTTTGTATTTTATTTAGAGACAGGGTCTTACTGAGTTGCTTGGTGCCTTGCTTTTGCTGAAGCTGGCTTTGAACTTGCGATCCTCCTGCCTCAGGGCCTCAGCTTCCTGAGCCATTGAGATTTAAAAAAATATATATTATGCTTACATCTTTTTAAATACCTTTATTTTATTTATTTTTATGAGGTGCTGAGGATGGAACCCAGGGCCTTGCACGAGCTAGGTGAGTGCTCTACTGCTGAGCCATAGGCCCCAACCCCATGAGCCATTGAGATTACAGGCATGCACCTCTAAGCTGGGCATTTATTTAGGTTTTTAATCAAGAAACATAAAGCTGCCCATCAGAGCTTTTAACTAACGTGAGATGACTAGGTTAAACCCTTATGAGCAAAAAATAACTTTTAAGTTTTGACCTATACATTCCAACCAAGGGGATATGCTGGCCTCAGGATGGTCATCACAGGTCCACAGGGCAAGTATCATCCTCACATCTCACAAACAAAATGAGTAATACATATATGCAAAGTGAGTACAAAATATCATATAAAATACATTTCATTTATATTCCAGTGGAGTAATGCCTAGTTCCCATGAGCATACAATACAGCAAGGGGCTCTAACCCCAAGACAGTGGAAGGAATTAAAGTCCTGTGCCCTGGAATGGAGTGGAGGCTTCGTGGATAGGTGGCAT